TATCAATGATACCATGATTCAATGAAAATTGACTTGGTCAACTTGTCCGCATTGGGAATGATTTCAATTTTTGCCACAGATTTTGATCACACAACTTTCGGATGTCGTCCGCCGGGCGGCGCAATGGATCTGTTTGCTCCTCCTGTGTGATAGGGGCACTGGCAGCGGGAAGCTTAGATGTTCCAACAGTTACGGCCCTTAACAGTCATGAATGGGTTTATAATGGTAGGAGTTATATTTTCATTTATAACATTTTATAGCTGTTAATGGCCATGACTGAACATATGCCGCCAAACCACTGGGTATCCTGAGCATCCAGAGTCCCAGTGGCAAATTGTAATTTTTTGGGCGTGCGACTAGTGGTACTAAGGGACAACAGATTTTTAGGATGATTTTGGCAATGTTTAGTAAGTGGCTATGTTATCTACGAATTTATCTTTGGATGGTCAAATTGACCATAACGTATTGTAAAGCATGTCTTTGAGCCCTTTTCAACTTAGCTGAATGTGGAGGAAAGCTGGATCCCAGACCGAGTCTTGATTCTGAATGTTAAATCAAGATCATGCTGTCATCAGCCTGGATACCCCCCCAAAAAATATCAGCCCAACTGTGTTTAATGTTGCTTTCCATCCTCCCTTTGGGTTTCCTGGGTCGAAAAAAGTCGAATGAGTGCTCTCAGATGAGCCACCAACCACATGCAGGTGTTCCAATTGTGCTCATGGTGTTTTTTGTAGCCATCCAAGCAAATCTGCATTTTTTTAAGATTCCAGTAATATTGAATACCCTCTGGTAATTTAACATAGCTATTGAAAATGGCCATTTATAGTGTATTTTCCCATTCAAAACGGTGATTTTCCATAGTTACGTTAGTTTACCAGAGGGTATTCATTGATGTTCATGTACTATATTGGCATGTATCGGAGATATCCATGTACCAAGAGATTCCAGTTTAAAAAAACACCAACATCCCCAAGAGATGCGTGCTGTCAGTGGAATGATCATCCGAGACCCGCCGTTGTGTTTGGTCTTCATGATCTCATTGGGGTGCTCGAGAAAGAGAATAAACAAATATGCCAGACTGTATATTCTACATATATATGTATATTGCCATAGTGTTGTATGTATATCAGTATATCTATAGTAATCCCATATATATATATTATGTATATTATGTATATGTTTACCCAGCTCAAGATTGATTAAGATCGGCCATAGTCTTCTCGACTGTTTATTCACATTGCTCACGCCAGCCTGAAAGGTGGTGACCATTTCAATGGGGAAAAAAAGCCTGGGGGACTTGCCAGAAATGTTGATATTTATAGTTAGTGGAACTTGGTGTCTAGATGTTTCTATAGTTCATTTCACTAGTGATTATGAATGGTATTTCATAATATATGTTCTATAGTGAAATACGGGTTATAAACCAACTTGTTTCACTACGGGCTAGCACTCCAGGTGCGGGGAACACATGTTTGTTGGCCACAAGTTGGGGCGCTGTTGAAAACCCAACGGTGGAAAGAGAGGCAACCTTTGACGTTACGCTTTATGGAGGATATAAAAATAGTTGATGGATGTTGATGGGGTTGTAAAGAAACTTACTGAGGTTTGAGATGTGTTGGCAGTTTGGGGATGTTTCGGGTTGAATTGATCGCAGTTCGTCACCATTGTCACCATTGAAGATTGAAATCCCCAGAAACTCTTTAGTTCCAGCCCTTGGTGGTTCGCCCGGCTTAGTAAGGGGTAACCCCGAATATTGAACACCACATGAAAACATCCAGTCGGCCACGCAGGTGTTGAGTGTGAACGAGGGATGGGATTATCCCCGCTTCAATCGTAACATTCCATCATTTCAGAGATGTTTTCATCTGGTTGGTGGTTTGGAACATGTTTTATTTTCCATAATATATGGGATGTCATCCTTCCCATTGACTTTCATATTTTTCAAGATGGTTAAAATCACCAACCAGTCATGGTTTATGTTCCGAAAAAAAATGGTGCTTTGAGAAAAATCCACCACTCCACAACTCAGGTGCTTTGCCTGGCGGCTTTGTATTTCACTTGGCCGACCGCATCCTTGAGTCCCCGTCGCGAAGGTGGGAATGCCATTTTGTATGATGATGGATTGGAAACAAAAAACAACGAGCTAAAATAAGGATGCACATCAAACAAGTGGATACATTTTTTTAAAGTTTAAAAAACACAGTCGCATTTTGGTGAGGATTGTTGGACTCCTTTTTTTAAAAATCTATTTCAGGATGACCGTAGAGTTTGAATGTTTGGGGTTGGGTTCACCATACATCTCTCACTAAAGAAGAAACTTTTAGAAGGGGAGCAGCAAACCACGAAGAGATGTCAGTGACACGGGTTGAGAAATGGGTGGTTTGATGCTGGATGGCTCAATATGAACCCACAATTCACATCAAACATATCGATTTTGCCAAGTTTCAGAATGGTTTGTAGAAAAATAGTGATTTTACCCTCTGGTAAACTAACAGTTTGCTATGGAAAATCACCATTTTTAATGGTTAAATCAACTATTTCTATGTCCATTTTGGTACTCCCATGTTGAACCATCGACATTTGGGTAGCCCCTTCAGAGGCGAAGCCACGCGTGCACTTCCCGTCCATTTTTATAGATAGGTTTTTAAAGCCATCCAACCGGATTAAAATGGAAGTATGGTGAAATCAGCCAATTAGATTAGTGATATTTTTTTAATGAGTGGAATATACCATGTTAATCCATGTTACGTTAATGGTTTTATGATCATCACTTACTGCTTCCCGAGCCCCACGTCTCCCCATATCCAGGTGTATTGCTGATTATATATTCATTATTCATTGCTTTAAGATATACCAATTCCTACATCCCTATAGCCACGTGGCTGGTTGCTTCAGAAGCCTATCATTCAGTCATCCTGAGCCCCACTTGGAGGATCATCCCATGCACCTTGGGACCTTGGCTAAAAAAAAACATGAGTTCCCGCCACATCACGAATCAGTTCCAAAACTCGTGAGCTAAAGTGATAAACCATCCTATTGTTGGTTGTATCAGTTATTTATATATATATAATGTGATATATCCCTTTAAGTTCAAAGAAGTTTCTGACTTCTCCCCCATGTCAAGGCCCTTTACCGGTGCACCGGTTCCCATCGTCCCCGTCATCGTTCCCATAAGTTCCCGTCATCGTCCGCGTGTCGCAGAGCGCTTGCGTTCCCCGGTGGAGCTGCAGCGGAGCTTTCCGCTGCCCTTTCCGCTGAAGCTCTTCGTGAACACCTCCCGGGCTGAGGCCGCTGCGATTCTGCACGGCCAGGCGGGGCCAAAAACGAGGGGCCAAGGCAAAGCCAACCCGGATGGCACTATATACAAGGTGGTGCCCCCCAAACGTTATAAATTTGTTTATAAACCCCATTAACTATAGATATATCACCTATAAAGCATAGTTATTGGAGTTATAAACCAACTTAGCTATCTAGGGGGCACCACCTTGTATACATATATATATATATATGTGTGTGTAATGTCAAGCCCGGATTAACAAAGCATGGTTTATTAATTAGAGGGTATTCCTCCAATAGTCATTTCATATGATACTTTTTTATGGTACCCTCCCAATTAAACAGCCGTTTGGGGTTTATTAATCCAGGGTTGACATTATCTATATGTTGGGTACATTTATGTAACATGGGGTACATATAACAACCATGTGGGAATGTGATAGTTTCATCTTTTAGTATTTTGCTATGTATACATGGAAAATGACCAGCCAACCAGAAAAAGGTGTCTTTGTTTGTGGACTAGCAAAGATTGACCATCTATAGGAATATCTGAGATATATCCTGAAGGTATATCATGGTACAGTTATGGCCATGGCTATTAGTTACAACTGGTTATTTCTATGGGATAAAAGACATTCTATAAATGGGGGTTTCTTAGTACTTATAACTGGTATTTTGGGCCATAACTGTATATATATATGATATATTATATATATATATCTGATATATTATATATATATATGATATATTATATATTATATATATATATTATATATATTATATATATATTTTTTATATATATTATATATATATGCCCGAGATGTTCGTAGAAATGCCTGACAAGTTGAAAATCCAAGGTTTGGAGCTGAACTTGGATCACTGACCACGATTCGGGTTGAACATGTCATTGTTAAGCAAGAAGCTTTGTTAAATGTCGAATGATTTTAATACTGATGTGGAGAATTTATGAGAATTCAAGGGATTGTTCCGAAGCATAAGTGAATTGATTTGAAGCTAAGTGGAATGCATCTGAGGTTGGCAAAGTGTAGAACCCCCTTCCATCCGGGAGCGGTTGGACACCAGCCGCTGACCAATTCGTCAAGTTTAGCAATGTCCAAGCTTCATTTGACTGCAACGGAGTTTGAGTCTTGAACTTACATTTGGAATCATTTGGAACGTTTGAGTCTTCTATACACCTTCAAGAGAAATCAGTGCAACAGTGCAGATACGGAAATGAAAAAATCTCATGTTGATAATTTGTCATGATTTTTTATAAAAAAGAGAAGAAGATTCGGTTGTCTAGGGATCAAACATGTTCAACAGCTGTTATTTTCAAGGGCGAAGCGCCATGAATCCTTCAGCTTGTTGGGGATAAACCATGGATGCCATGGGTGCCATGACTCACAGAGTGTTCCACAGCTTCCAGGATGATCGATTGCTGGTCATTGTGGGTCCATGCTCAATTCACGATCCCAAAGCAGCGAGGGACTACGCGCATCGCTTGCAGGTGACTCGGATGGCGGGACGGGAAGTTTACGGTTTGCGGTTTGGATGGTGTGTCACAGATGTTATGCCTGGTTAGTTTTAAAATTGTATCTATACAGTATATCTCTATACTGAACCTGCAAAGCTAGATAGACTACTACACTTGGATTTATGGCTGGTTGGTGGTGTTAAACATTTTTTATTTTCCATAATATATGGGATGTCATCCTTCCCATTGACTTTCATATTTTTAAAGATGGTTAAAACCACCAACCAGTTATGGTTATTCAGGTGATTTTCGATGGGATAAAATAAGGTCTTTATCCTCCAGTTTCATTTACTTCGATGCCCCAGCGAACGAGCTACCTCCATGGATAGAGGCAAATTTATGTGGTGAGATGGGTTGTAGCTGCGCCTTTTGCGAATGGAAAAGATGATATGCTGGTTCCATGCTGGGAAACATTTGACACAGATGGTTTTTTGGAAATGAACAGAGAGTAAAGATCTAAATTCTATCAGCATTGTACAGTAGCCCCCCGGTAACTAGCATGATTGACCCAAGTTTGCACCCCTTAGAACTGGACGAGCTCGTGAATACCAGGTCCTTCGGGAAGAGATGAAGGACGATTTGCTGATTTTCATGAGGAGATGATGGGTGAAAAAGGGGAATGGCAGCAGTTCTTAGGCCAAAATTCCGAATGAAGTTTGAGTGACATTTGATCTGAGGAGAATGAGATATCATAGGGGTAATATTGGGATTTCATGAGAAATCATTAGATTTAATGGGGTTTTTGGAACCATCCATGAAGGAATCTGGGTGAATTTGATCATGACAGTGGCCACCTGACTGGAATCGTGGCCTTGGTCCGGGGTATCCCAAATAGCTGAACTCTTAATGTCAGCGCATCATTTTGGGTTACTGACAGTTTGCTATTGAAATTGGCCATTTATAGTGGATATATCCATAAAAAATGGTGATTTTCCAAGGTAAAACAACTGGTTGGTGCTTTGGAACATGATTTTTATGACTTTCCATTCAGTTGGGAATGTCATCATCATTTTTCAGAGGGGTTCAAACCATCAACCTGAAGAGTTCAGCTATTTTGGGATACATGACTTCGATTTACCAAGATTTGATGACTTCGACTTCGATTCTTCGTGAAAAAGTTGGCAACTGAGAGGCTAATGTGGAAACCCCAACTATAAAACGGCATGGTTTGTCATACCCCAAAAAATGCAAGTGGGAGACGCTGCTAGGTGTTTTTTTGGTACATGACTCTGGCGGTGAATTCATAATAGACCATCGTTAATGGGGAGGCAGGATGAAAACTACACACTATTTCTCAGAGATGTTTACACAGAGATGCAACATCTCTGTCTCTGATGGGGAAAAACCTGGAAACAGTGTGTATATATATAATGTTAATTCTTGCCCAGTTTGGTTTGGAAAAAAAAATCTTGTAGGGTACCCCATCTTCAATGCATTTCTTTGAACCTGCTAAGCTGAAGATGATTGAGCCAACATGCGATGGCTTGAGGAGTGCTTGCCGCGTTGTGTCTCTGTTGTATCCCCAAGGTCAGCGGTATCACCTAGGACAACGCCATTTACGAGATGATCTATGGAAGTATCCTATGATTTATGGGATGAGTATCCTTTGATTTATACAGTTATAGCCCTTTACCAGTTATAAGTACTTATAACCCCGTCTATAGAATGTATAATCCCATTTATAACCAGTTAAAACTAGTAAATGGCCATAACTGTAGGATGAAATTACAGTATCATACCGTTTATGGGATGATTTACCATAATTACCTGCCGGGCACGTCAAACGCTTCTCAAAGCTCAAGAATAGCCATTCAACACAGTTGGCTCAGGTCCAGGATTCACAGGCTTTTCTCACTCTACTTGGATTCTTGCCCTGTAAAAGAACGCCACCATTTAATCCTATAAAGGTCAGTAACAAGCCTCAACTTATAATCACTTATAGTATATAGGTATATGTCACCGTGCATCCCAACTCCGATAATTTGACCAGCCAGTACCCAAACGAGTATAGCCAGTATAGCTATATATTATATATTTCAAAAATCACGAGTTATAGCTTTCTCAAAAATCGGAAATCCGCTTCCCAATCTCAACCTGAACCAATACCACTTCGGTGTTACCAGAATAGGGGATTGGTTAGTAAGTGGATGTAAGCGGGAAAAATTGGTATTGGATGGTCCAAACAACCGATCACAAATTCTGGAAACATCCAAGTGAGTTTCATTCCTCTAGAATATGTTAAGTCCACGTAAACCCTCAAACTTAACCTCTTAACCACTGGTTACCTAGTTAATAAACCTACGTAGTTATGACCCCCTTTGTTCATGATTCCAATTTTCCATGTTTTCTCGCTTCAAATCACAAAAATCCTGGTCAAATCCATTGAAACCATCATGTTCCCATGATTTTTCAATCAGATGTTCTTCCCATTTTTTCGGAAACTGCCAGGACCTACCTGGAGAAGCCCCGCACCGCCGTGGGTTGGCGCGGCCTCATCTCCGACCCGACCTTGAGCGGCGCCGAGGACGTGCCCAGGGGCCTGGCCCTGGGCCGTCGGGTGCTGCTGGACGTCCTGGCCGCAGGGCTTCCGACGGCCGTGGAGTTCCTGGATCCACTGGTGGCGTGCCCTGGCGGAGTTTGTTGTGGATGGTACAAGGTGGTGCCCCCCAAACGTTATAAATTTGTTTATAAACCCCATTCACTATAGATATACCACCAACAAAAACCATAGTTATTGGAGTTATAAACCAACTTATGACATGTTGGGGATTTAGTGGGATTTCAATCGTTACTGATTAATGGATAACTCATCGACGGCTAATTAATTAACAACCAACAGGTGGATTTTGTCAACAGTATAATGGATATTTCACAAATCATGGTAGGAAAAAATCAACAGTAATCGATTGCATGAGATAACTAATGGATACCGGTAACTTGTCATTACCACATGATGGTTGTTGAAATATGTTTGTTTTTTCCCGGATGTGTTTTTTTCTCTTTTGTAAGAACATGTTATAATTGTGTCTCTTCGTTATGTTTGAGACGTGTGTGGCGATGTTTGTTTGATTTCACCATGGGCCTGAGACGATGTCTTAGGATGTGACGGCTTTGATGTTGAGATGGTGAGGATTTGAACTTTTTCTTGGGAATGGTCTACAGTTATGGCCATTTACTAGTTATAACTGGTTATTTCTATGGGATAAAATACATGACCTATAAATGGGGTTTTCTATTCGTACTTCCAACTGGTATAACTTAGGCCATAACTGCAATAATATCTGAAGATTCTGAAGTTCATTGATGTTACAACATTAATAACTGTATGGGTATAACTATATTTTGGGCCATAACTGTGGGTGATCTCAGTAAAGAAACGACAAGGCATTGGCCCGGAGCCATGGGGACATGCTTCGGTATATCTGGACCTTCACAGATACAAGGGTGGTGCCCCCGGCCACGAGAGCGTTCAGTTGGGGTTCACATAACTCCAATAACTATGGTTTATAGGTGATACAGTATATCTATAATAATCAGTAACGATTGAAATCCCACTAAATCCCCAACATGTCATAAGTTGGTTTATAACTCCAATAATTATGGTATTTGTTGGTGGTATTATCTATAGCTAATGGGGTTTATAAATCCACCTTGTAGCTATTTCAGGGGATACCAAAATATACGAAGGGAGAATCCCGCCCAGGATTTTTTTTGGTCCTATAACCCAAGCTATCAAAAGTATTGTACACTTATGTCCACTTATCATTATCATATTGCCAATATATTGCCGCCATATAGTATCATATCATATCATATCTCCATTATAGCCTAATCATCCAAACCTATATAGTACCATCAATGATAGCCCGATGTTCCCTATACCTCCAATAATATATTCCCAAGTATATTCCTGATACCGCCAATTCCCGTAACCACAAAACCCTGGTTGATGAGTCCGTGGGGATTACCTATTTGGTGGTTGGGCTTTGACCCCTTAGCTACCAGGTTTCTGAAACTCTTCTCTTATCATACTCCATCATACTCCCCTTTTTTATAACCTTATTGTAGCCCCAGCATAGCAATCGTTTTTTGCTGATGATTAACCCGACGATTTTAATCCCCCACTTCCCACAATCCAATGACTTCCCTACATCTTCCATTCCCACAAAGTGAAGAAACACAACGTTATGTTTATTGGTTTATACAGTTATGGCCATTTACTAGTTATAACTGGTTATAAATGGGATTATGCATTCTATAAATGGGGTTATAAGTACTTATAACTGGTAAAGGGCCATAACTGTACACCATTAACATCCATTAGCTAAGTTCCCTATATCCACCATCAACTATAGAATTCACCAAGTGATGCGCGGATGCACGTGTCGCGAGTTCGTCAATGGGGGCCGAACGTAGGACCTACATCGAAGACGTGGTGAGTTACGGTAGCATCGGCGCGCGCACCGTGGAGAGCCCCGTGCATCGGCAGCTGGCGGCGGCGATGAAGATGCCAATGGGCTTCAAGAACGGCCGCAGCGGTGCACGGTTTGGGGACTGGGGCGGTTTTTGATGTGGCGAAGTGGTTCAAAAATCTCTGGGGAAAAGAGTTCGGGGAATGATTTTAGCGAACATTTATTATATATTGTTTGAACATTTTGAGAAGTGGGGGAAATCTTTGGGAACTATTAATGCTGTAAACGTGCACTTCACCTTGGAGAAATTTGATGTGAGCTCATGTATTGTCTTAGATCAAAGCGAAAGGATAACGAAATTGACGATGCCATCATTTGAAACCTGGGTACTTGGGGCTCTTACCAACAGCTATGGGGAAAAATCATATTCAAAAAATGTGACCCGTCACGGGGTAAGCTTCAAACATTGGGGGAAATCAACTGATTTACAGTACCCATCTCCACAGTGCTTTAATGGAAAGTTTGGAGGGATACTTTAGCACAACTTCATCTCTTGCTACAAATGATATCTTACCCTAACCAGCTACAAAGGAACAACGAGAATCCGAGATAGCCCATGGGAACTGGAAATAGTTTGCTGGAAATAAAATAGATGCAACCAATCAATAAGATATCAACATCAACAAATTGATTTAATACTCTGAAGAAATATGTATGGTTACATCTAATACATGTTTTACAATTCGTGGCTGACCACTTGAAATACTGGTTGACTTGTGGTTTTACGAGATTTTGGGGGGAGAATGAAGAATTGGGACCTTGGGAGGGGACCAAATCAAATGCAGAGTTCAAACCATGAAACATGGGAGCTCCACATCAAATATGGGAACCTCAACAATGGGAACCTCAACAGCCTGCTGAAATGGTGAACCGGTGGTATCTAAGTCCAGGTGAGGTAAAAATGGGGAGGAACTGGCAAAACCGAAGAATGGAGCACTTCACTCCCTAAAGGTCACATCCATTGTTTTTTGCACCATGTTTGTTGGATAGCTTAGCCAGTTATGGCCCTTTAGCAGTTATAAGTACCAAGAAAACCCAATTTATAGAATGTATATATAATCCCATTTATAACCAGTTATAACTAGTAAATGGCCATAACTGTAGCCAGTTTTGGAAGGTCCAACTTATTCGTGAAATCCCCCCATTTATAGAATGTATAATCCCATAGAAATAACCAGTTATAACTAGTAAATGGCCATAACTGCAGAGGGAAAAAAATCCTTGGTTCACTCCGACACCAGGTGACCTGCAAAGTGCGGTGAACGCTGCCGTGGCGGCCTCCCTGCCGCAGAAGCGCTTGAGCACCGATGCAAGGGGACACGTGCAGCTGGAGAAGGTGTGGAAAACCCCAGGGGATTTCCAGCCATCCCCAGCAATTTCCATGGGAATATCATATGATAATGGGAATTGAATGGGAATATCTTCAACATATCCAGGGTATTTCCATGGGAATATCATAGGGAATAGGGATGATCAGCCCATTTTCGAATATGTTGAATATGGAAATTCCAATGATATTCCCATTTACTGCTGGAAAAATACTTCGATCGGCCATGGGATGGGTTAACTACTCCCATGGCCCATCTAAGTACCTGCCGGTATTCAAACGTGGCAAGCTGGGAAATCCCCGAACTAAAAAAGGAGATTTCAGTGAGAAAATCATCGAACTAAGTGGGTTTCCAGCAAGCCATGTTTGATGAGTATGGATAAACCTGCGGAAAGATGAAATGAAATTTGGGTGAAGCATTTGAGATTATTACTGTATATATGATCGGGATGATTTTTGGGACAACATTTGGGATTATTGGGAGATAATGGGGTTTGTCATGGCGGAAAAATGATGGACATTTTTGTGGAAAAAGTGGATGATGAACGCATCTAGAATAGATGAGATTATCCCCATGGCGAAATGGGATGACTAGAATTGCAAAATATTGGGATTTTACGGCGGAGATATTTGGAAAATTTTGGGCTACAAGCAACAGAAAAGACTTCACTGGGAATAGTGGGATTCAACCACCCCCGCAAGGTATCCCACGGATGATACGGGTTTATTAAGGGCTTTTAACCACCAAATAAGCACGCAGCAACTGGCTAAGCGAACAATTTTGTTGTTTACTTTTAACTCTTGGAATATGTCTTTTAACATGTCCATTGTTTTGGATGTTACTATTTAGATAGGGGATTTAGTATAGGATTGAATTAACATATGTTGGCCCAATATGATTTTGGGGACGTAGGATGAGATCATGGGAATATATGGGAATAGCAGACAATGAAATAAGCCATTAATGATTGACAATTTCCAATATCATTATTGATACACGGGAATCTTACATTCATTATGCATTAGTCTCATATAAAGAACAACTTTATTTTAACCATTGAACAACTGGAATGCAAGCAACAGCAACGGAATATCATGGGTGTATCAACTAATTAGTCTTGCTCTTTTTAGCCGGAAATTGGAGGATTTTTCCAACCACAGACGGGGTTGATTACCCTCTGGTTATGACTAACATAGCCATGGTATAGATGGCCCCATAGAAAATCATAGAAATAGATAGAAATAGATGGTTTACCTATTAATCGCATGGTGGATCTGTCCATGGCGAACCGTTAGTCATAACCAGATGGTACTTGTAAACTAAGCCTTAAGCCTAACCATCCCTAAGCTGTTTTTCACCATCCTTTCTGTGTCAACAGTCACTGCCGGACCATTAACAGGCCCCTGGAAACCCTGACGTCCACATTATCCTCAGAGGCAGTGAAAGTGGACCAAACTATGGATGCTTGGAACGCGGTTCGTGCGGAGCTATGCGGAGCTATTCGGAGCTGCGGGGTGTGAAAAAAATATGAAATGCTTGAACAAATCTGGTGATGTTGGCCATGGGGGTTCAACCCCTTGAATAATGGCATGATGGATGACGTGTTTATACGTGTATAACGTGTTTGTGATGGGAACTAACTAACAAAGTCATATGAAACGCAGACAGGAGTATGGAATGATGGGTAAGTTGGTGTATGGCAAATATATCTAGAGCTGTATGTATGAGAAACGCTTGTTTTTGTAACGAGGGCGACATGTTCTGGGTGATACGCTGCTTCAAGTTGGTGGTTTCAAGTGTTTGTTATTGCCCAGCCCCCTCGCTTTAGATATGGGTCCCTACGGTTTTTGAATCAGGGTTTGCTACGGAATTGGCGTTTTTGTGGGGAACGTATTCCTCGGTTTTGTGTGCAGTAGTACAGCGTGTGCATCATGTCGAATTCTATTTGCTTGACATATACCGAATGTAATTGGATTGCGCACGGATCATGATCACGATGATCGAAATATATCAAAGTGAAAGCATACTTTTGATGATACATAAATGACATTTACCATCGGGTTATGACTAACAGTTCGCCATGGAAAATCACCATGCTATTAATAGGTAAATCAACAAATTTCTATGGGCCATCTATACCATGGCTATGTTAGTCATAACCAGAGGGTAATCGACATCTTATGAACTGTTGATATATTTTCATAAATACATTATTATCATAATATCATTTATGTATCATAAGATCATATACATAATGGTCATCATTAAATGACATGACTCATCGACATCTTGAATGATGCGTTGTGCCACAGATCTTCTGCCATGGCCATGGCCCAGGAGAGGCATTTGTGGCTGAATCCAAAGAGCGATTGGCCAAAGCCGGATTTCGCACCTTTTTTGCAACGGGCGCGTTGCGCTTTGGTGCTTTGGTAGGGTATAATACGGTATAACATGATATAACTATGGCGAGTCCACCGAAATTAAAAAGATGGGGTGTTTGGAAACTAGTTTAGGAAATCCACTTTTTTTACCATCAACGTATGGCCAAGTACTGGGAACATTATGGGGATAGAAGCGGAATACCATGGAGATATAAGGAGACACCACCTATCATTAACCATCCTGGGGGTGCTTTGTTGGGGTGACAACGGTGACAAGGATTAGTATGAGTATCATAGTAAACTTCATAAGTTGGGAATAGTTGGGATATATGGCCCTTACAAACTATGGTGACGTATATCCAGGTCCACTTGCAATCTGAAATGGCTGGTTTACCCTCTGGCGATGTAACAGTTTGCTCTGGAAAACGGTTCGTAAAAATAGATTAATTTAGCAGAATGGCAGAAAGGGACTAATTTAGAAACCACTTCCATTTCATTAGGGTGCTTGTTTGTACAGTATTTGTTTCAAGGGAATTGTGAAATGATTGATCCTTGCTAATCGCAAGGAACTCATCCGGGTCACCTTTATTGTTTTTATTATTATTACTACTGTTTTCTTGATTGTTATAAAATGATGGTCCAGCCTTCAACTTGTGGCATTGTTGGCAGTGGTCCGTCAAATGCAATGCCACGGTGCCCAAAGTGGAAGCAAAACCGACGCCAAAGCAGCAGAAGTGCAACCGACGGCTCCCGCTGCAGCAAAAATGCCACCGACGCCTCCCCAAGCCAAGTTCAGCCGACCGTTGCCAGATGCCTTGCAACGAGCTGAAGCACTCCAAAGTCAAGTCCACGCTCTGCAACGAGAAAACCTCCAGCTGCGGTTGTTTACATTGGGTGTACCATGTTGTAGCGTACAATCTGTTTGTTTTGTGTGTTTTTGCCTTTTAAAAATTGCGGTATTACCGTTGCAAAAAATGAGAAACATGTACCTCCAAAAGATGGTGGGTTGGATGTGAAGCTTGTCCTTATGAAATGACCGCATGTGTCTCTGTTATGCAAAGGGCTTACAAAATGAAACATATGTTGTGGGACTGGGGCCCATTGATTTATACAGTTTGTTGGTCCGTAAATAAATATATATATATATATATGATTATTTATGTAAATGTTAACACGGCCTTAGAACCTAGGTGCGGAAAACATTGGCACTATATAAGCCCTTAAAAAAGAAAAACATTTTATAACTCGTGGATTTCTTATTCTATAAAAGTGGCATTTTTTGGGGGGTGTTCTTATTTCCATGGCACCAGGTTGGCCATATTTCAAAGGGGATCATCCGCTGATGTTTGTTAAATTTACTCATCAAACTGTAGAATGTCCAGAAAAAACATCCTAGTTAGGTGAGCGAAAGGAATAATATTGTTAATACATATATAGAATTATATAGATATATACACACACTCCCTTCACTAGAGTTATCCACTGAGTCCAAAATAACAAAAATCACTTTCGGCAATAGAGTTGCCCGCGCACAAAATGCCGTCTTGTTATCGCACTGGATAGTGAGCTTGATTGTTGGGAGAAAATTCCAGGTATGGGTCATACATCCCCACATGGAGTGGCGACCTAATACGGTTTCACCAGACCTCTGGACTTTAACACATGTCATAGCTGGGTCACCTGGTAAGGCGTCAGGCGATTTTTGTTCCCGTCATGGACCATCATTTAAGGGGAATCTCTCGCCCCCAATGGGATGACAACTACATCCCCATTTTGTTCTGCTAATTTAGTCACCCATTACGCTATACAATTATATAATTATACCAATTTTGCTATACGAATTACATCCAAATTTTGCTATACAAATTATACCCCTGTTTTGCTATATATACTAAGTATATATCCTCATGTTGCTATCCCATATCCGCATTATGAGTGATTTCATCTGGTTGCTGGCTTGGAACATTTTTTATTTTTCCATATATTGGGAAGAATAATCCCAACTGACTTTCATATTTTTCAGAGGGTTCAAACCACCAACCAGTCATGGTTCAGGCTATGCCTATGCCAGACCCCGCTGGTTCGTCAAAAAACGTCTCCAAGGTGGTTCACAGATTCTGATCGACTGCCGCTCGCTCGAGAGCTTAAGACGGCAGCGAAATTTTGCGTGGTGGGTTGCCATGGAAGTCTCTGAAAAGTGCTTAGTTAGATTTAGTTATTATGATTAGGAAAGTAATAACATATATATCATATAATGATGTGGCATAACATATATTGCAATCAATCATGGTTAGTTATTCATGATATGTTATGATTGTTTGAGATTACTTTCCTTTGAGTGATGGGATCCTTGGGATGTGGACATTTATGAATTTCGGATCTCAACGATTCAGAGATGTGAAGGCATAGAGGGTGTGGCTTTAAGGTATTGCGGGCACATGGGCGGCACAGAAAATCATTTGATCACCATGCAGCCTCTCAGCCTCTCAGTTCACAAATTCTAGACCCTCAACTTCGATTTCAAGCTTCGTCGCTTCGTCGCCCAAAACCATGGCTTTCCCGGTAGGTAGCCACGGCAATTCGGGGAAGAAGTTTGAGGGCGAGGCGTCGTGGGATGTCGTGGGATGTCGTGGGATGTGGAGGGTTTTTTTTTGCCGCGACACTGCTGGTGAACTTTACAGTGCCCATGACGGATCCGGCTGGTGCTGCTATATTAATGCTAACATAAAGGGGGTATATTGATGGGATCCATGTTACCAGGTTACCATATATATATATCGCATACATGATGGATTCTATGGGTACTGTAATTACATCATATAGGAAATCCTGGCCACTTGTTGATCCCTTTTAGAAAGACAAGGCACTGAGTTTTTTTTGTTGACTGAGACAAGGCACTGTGCTTGAACTACTTTGGAACTTGATTGAAATGCTGTGATTTTCACCAATTCATGCACGATGTCAGGCCCCCAAGAAAAAGCAGTGCATGGAATGACGGACTATACAGAACAAAGGATCATCAAGGATAGATCTGTTTCTTTGAATGTATGGATTTCCTGCAAAGTTGCCTTTGAGCTGTAAAATTTTGGGAAATAAACCCCGGAGGGTGCAGCCCAAAAAGTGCTATATAGACTCACAGTAGAAAGTCCTTTTTGCATGAATAAATTAGCAAATTGGTAGTTCCTGGTTTGACAGTATGGCACAATATCAACACATATTATCACATATTTAGATCATATTATTTAGCTCTTTAGTAGTGCCCAGTTGATAGTTGGTGGCATCCAGATGTGCAGGTGGTGGCTTGTGGGTCAGTGGCTCAGCAGGCGTGGCTATCCTGGTGGCACCGGATTTTTCTCAACATGTCTTAACGGACAACGATCCCCACTTGACCACGATCCCCAGTCTTTCACGACATCAAAACTAGTTATATGAGTTACATAACTATAATTATAGTATGCTATAGTCTACGAGTTTACGATAAACCCTGCCCTGGTTCTTAGTTGTAAATCAACTTTGCTAATTATGGGAGAGCCACCTCGTAAAGTCCATAAGGTGTTTGAATGTTCACTTGCAGCCGCTGTGAAGATCCTACTGTCCTACTGACTCTCCTCCAATTGATTGAGATTGGTTGAGGCTCGGCTCGAACCCAAACATGGCGATTTCCAGCAATGAATTCACTTTCGAATGTCCCCCTGTCTTGGAGGGTTTTGCATCACAGAAGTGGTGTGCTAGATATGGAGATGGGTCAATACCACAAATGGGCAGGATGAACAGTACATCAGCGAAAATTTGGTGGAAATAAAAATAAGTTGTGCTGTTTGCGTTTTGATCCGTGGCATTTTTTTTTGCTGCTTGGCAGGTTGCTGCAGGGAACACTGCTATCGGTGGTGTTGGGGCACTCAGATTCGGTAAGCTATGTGGGAACATTTGGGAACATACACAAAATCCTTTGGAGAATCAAGGGAGAACTCAGCGAATCTAAGCAAGAATCTATCCAAAGTATGAATCAATGAGTCATATCTCCCTGATATGCGAGCCATATTCCCCAAAGGAAAGCATCTTTTACGGCTGTTCCCCAATGGCCCAATCGATTTGGGCAGTTCTTTGCTGGAATTTTTGTGCCCCAACAAAATCAGCTTGTCTTTCACTATTTATCCACGTGGTTTGAAATATAGCCTAGCTGCTATGTTGCATCCTGGGAGCCAATGCATTGACTTTCGCAGATTTCGAAAAGGGTGTGTGGTGTGGCTCAACCACCAATCAGTATCGTTAAGATCTGCTATCTATGTCGTGGATACCAAACCTTGGGCAAAACGCTCGAAATCCTGGAGTTCATTGGGCTCCGCTGTTCAGGTTTCCACGAAATTAGTACCAGAGTGTTGACTCTTCCAGTATGCTCCATGTATGGTATATTGACCATTCTCTACCTATGGATCACAGGGTAAATGTTGGTCAGCATTCCGTGGAGTGTATGGGACAGGATTTTCACCCCGGGATCTGATTCGGTAGCGGTAGTTTGCCACCAAATAGCTATGGATTTGAATCCTACATTCATAGATTCGGATAGAAATGTACCTTTCATCAACATGTTCATCCCAGATGGTAGAGTGCAGTTGTGTTTTTCCTATAGGGAAAGCAAGGCGCAAAGTGAGGTGCTGATTGAAAGTTTCCTGGTGGCTGGGAATCAGAAGCTGGAACCAGGCCGGAAGCCCACAGCTTCGGATGGAGATGTTGTTTTCAGATGTTTTCAGCTCCTAAAATGGTTAGCCCCTAATGATCAATAGCTGCTGGTTGGTGGTTTGGTGGAACATTTTTTATTTTCCATAATATATGGGATGTCATCCTTCCCATTGACTTCCATATTTTTCAAGATGGGCACATTGCACCACCAACCAGGTTGGCTTTATGAATCCCAATGGCTGACACCGATGGTTCGGATGCTTTGCATATACGATGCCTTTTGACAACAAGCTTATAGATATCTAAAGTCTTCTAAAGTCCTAAGCCAGTCACAGTGATTCCACCAAAATCCTGATATCACTCACTGTCTTGTGATGGATCACCCATTTTGATATCAACCTGTACTGATTTCAGGGGAGATCAACTAATTTCAATATGTTTCAATGGGAGTCAGGTTGTACTTACGAAGGGGAGAAAGGCTGCGTCCTCAGTTTGTCCTCGGTCATTCTCAGTTCTGAGGGTCTCGTTCACTTCGTAGGGTATTTCCTAATTTTGATCAGCTCAACCAGTACTCTGCACCGTTAAATTGATATAAATATAAGCCTGACATAGCAGAAAGTGACCAAGTAGCCAGTAAACACAAATTTACTGGACATGCACGGTTTTCCAAGAGAAGCGATGCGCAACTGGTGGATTTTCATGAATTTTACATATCTAAGTTACCCCCTGGTACTCAAACATGCCTGGGACATGGAGGCTTCTGGGAAAATCAACCTTTACCCCGAAATTGTCATCCACATCCAGTTCCCCGGGTTCTTCTGTGGGTTGTGGGGATTTTCCCCGGGTCCCTTGGCCGCCAGGCGTCACAAAAGTGGAAGATCTCAAATATGGCTGCAGTGCTTGGGGCCCTGGTGACAGGATGGCGGATGGCATTCTGGAGATGTCCTAAGTCAGGGTACCCCAATAGCTGGATGGTTTCGATTAAGGACAATCCTATATTTATCATGGAGAAATATGAAGAATATAGTGGTACAGTGGCCAGATCATGGGATATAAATGGATATTCTGGGCAAATTATAGCGACCTCAGGTACAAAAGCCTGGAATCAAAAGCCTGGAATCATAGTGAATGTGTAGGACATCATCTTCAAATGGCCAAATGGCACAAGCTTTCCCGTAGCTACCCTGTTAGGCTGCGCCTGCGAATTGTGCCATGTCATACAACTATGTTCCACTCCCTGTCCCATTGATCAACCTCATCAAGACCTATGACATTTCAGCAGCCCCATGGATGAAATCCCAAAGGGTCAATTTGGTGACCTCTCATTTTCAGCAGTTTGACGACAATTTCAAGGTACGCATGTCGTCTCCAAGTGTTTTGGATGCCCAGTTTGTATCATTTCACAAGGAAGCTTCACCAGAATATGCTGTCTATGAAGATTTTATCCATCTGCATATGGATAAGGACAGACGACCCACAGTTTTCTTTGATGAAATGTACATTCATCAGGCCTTGGTGACAGACATTGATCCAGTGACCGTGACCTTGGATCATCAATCGCTCCTTCTGCCGTGGGACACAGAAGATAGGACTAGCCAAAGCACCACCTCTTGGTGTGTTGAACAGTTTGCTGGAGGCTTTGGAGGATGGGCCTTTGGTTTAGCTTTCTTGCACCGAGCGGGATTTCCGAAGTATCATGTCCTCAGTGTGGAAGCCGAATTGTCGTATGCCACCCAATACGCCTTGTCACATGCAAGTAACATGGTAGGAGACCCAGCAGGTATGCCTGAACAGTTTTTGCTCCACATGCAAGAAGATGTCATGGTTTGCGGGAACATCCAAGAAATGCATTGGCAAAAGCTTCTTCAACATGTTTATGCTTCATTGTGGTGTATTTCTGCTCCATGCAAGTCCTGGAGTTTTGCTGGAAGCCAAGAAGGCTTCTCCAACCAAGATGGATTGACGTTGGCCCATGCCATTGCGCACTGTAGGATTCACCAGCCGAAATATGCCATGATTGAACAGGTAGCAGGGTTTGAAAGCCACATGCACTTCCCAATTGCCATGCGTTTGATGCAATGGGCGGGATATGAACCGGTTTTGCAAGGAGTTTTTGACCTGGGAAATCTCACACCTTGCAGACGCACTAGGTGGTTAGGAGTTTTTGCACATCATGCATGCACACAGCCTCATATGCAGCCGCAGAAATGGCCCACCAATTCCACCACAACACGGCAGTATGACATGATTCTCAACCTGTCCCATCAGCAGTGCCGTGAATTCGAACCAACCGTCCAGCAGGCAGCCTTCTACTTTGATGCCAATTTCATGCCTGGAGCCACCAAAGTTTGGACCTATAAGGATATCTTGAAATATAGAATTCCTTCGTTGGAGGGTAAGCTCCCCACATTTCTTCATCTTTACGGCCAACAACATTCATTGCGACCACATCGATTGACGACCATGGGCCTTTTTGGACATTTTGTGCGTCAAGGAATTGCCTTCCGCTTTTTTGCTCCAATTGAAATCATGTTTGGTCATTGCCAAGTTGATGACATGATCCTGTTGAAACCAAACACAATTGGATGGGAAACGATTGGAAATGCCATAGCAGTTCCGCATGCAGTGTTTGCCCTTGCACATGCATTGTTATCATTGCATCCGAACCTAGTTTCCGATGATGCCACAAGTCTTGTCCTGCGTTTGATTGCGTACCGCTTGAAGGCCAGCACAAGCATGATTTCTAGCGATTCTTTTGCATGGTATGTAAGCGCTTCATTATCTACTCAGGAGTTGCAACGTCGATTGCATTTTTTTCTCCAGGAACTCAATTGGCCCCACCAAGGAAAGAACACTTGGCCATCTGGAGCATTTTTCTCTCACCAGGAAGGTTTGATGCCGATGCAATTTTACAGCCCAGAGCTCACCCAAGAGCTTGAGATTGCTGCCAGAAACCGCATCCCAAACACGCAAGTGGATTCACCAGATCAAACGGGAGAATTTTTGCAGGTTGCCCCAATTTTGATTCCAGGCGAATATGGGAAATTGCGTATCCACAAAGATGTCACCTTGCTCACTTTGCTGCGATTGTGGAACTACCAGATTGGTCCTGATTTCCCGATTTCCCATCAAGACTTGGAGTGTTCAATTATGCAATTGTTCTCCGAATCACATGTCATGCTCATGCCTCTTGCTCCAGAGATCCAGGAGATGCTGACACAAACAGCCCTTGCACGACCTGATGCAAACACAATCATCTTGCACCGATCCAGCACTGATTTGAGCATGTATGAAGTTGCTCATGGAAAGACATGGCGCATGGTGAAGCAGACCTTTCCAGACCTTCAATCAGCCCAATATGAATTGTTTGGAGATTTGCAGGAATCCACTCTTTTCACGAGGGACACAGAGATCCATGATCAGGTTGCACCCTTTCAGGTGCCAGCACTTGCACAGACAGTTCTGAGGCAATTGCACGATGTAACCTTTGAAGTGGTTTGTCCTCCGAAAACTGATATCCTGATTCTCCATTGCGAAGGATCCCAGCAAGCCCGTGAAGCATTCCTTCAGTTTTGGGGCACGGAAGACCACCGCCGATGGATGTTGCAAGTAGGAAGGCAAATGAATTACCAGTCCATTGATGATCGTACCTGGAGGGTGTTTTTTCGACCGGCACTTCCGGAAGCAGCCATGCCAATTGCGATTTTTCGTGATGCACTGTTTTGGAATGCTGTTCGCACTCTTTTCATGTCCATGCACACTGCAGAGGGTCTTCCAGTCAAGATCAAACTGTTTGGTCGTACGCTCTGTCAGGTGTCCCTGAGCTTTGATTTAGCTTGTGAGACCTTTTTGCTGGCCCTTCAGCACATCCGACAGTTGCATCCCAGAAGAGGCAATCCGAGCCTTCATGCATCCGGAAAACGCTGTGGGGACATTTGCACCATCCGAGACATCCACAGCCGACTCACTGGCACATCAACAGTCCCTGTTTTGCATATCGGCATGCCAATTTCGGGGGGGGGACCGACCACCAAGCATCCCACTTCCAAGATGGACTTTCACAAATTGGTGCAATCTGAAGTTGCCAACCGATTTCTTCAGTATGGTTTGGATTTGCCTCAAGTAACAGATTCCACTTCCAAGTTGATTGAAAAGGTAGGCCTTGCCAGACTTCATCATATGATCCATGAAGAATCACAGCCTGAAAAGGAACAAAGCTTTCGACGATTGTGCGAGTCGGCAAGCATTGCCCTGCCGAAGCATGGCCCTAGGATGCATCTGGTTTCAGGTAAGTACCAGAAGCTTCGATCACAGCGAACCCATGCAGCGACAGCCAAGATCGACCCAGCAAAGTATCAGCTGACTGAAGGTTTTTTCGTCAATGCTGACAAAACTCCTACGCCAATTTTGAGTCAATTTTCATGGCAGAGCACAGGGGTTGTTCTTTTGACAGCCGAACAGGCACTTCCAATCATGACCATTGCTACCGCAACTGTTCCAGATGAACTTGCCATTTATGTGCCAGGTGATTTTGCAGTCCCCGCCAAATTTCATCATTTCCACACCAATGCACCAGCAGTTGATGATCTTGGGCGCCAAGTCCTGCTTACAGGCCAACTCATCCAGTTTGGATCAAGACATATTCAGACCAATGTCCTTCCTGACCAAATCACTACCAAGGAAGTCCAAGTCCTAGCAGTGACTTTGTGGAAAGAGGATTTTGACCCCCCTACATGGGAGCGTATCAAGTCGGCCCCAGTGAAAACGACCAGAGATTTGCTAATGTTGGAGGGCTATGGGGAATTGATGTCAAAGCCATGGGGCCGAGCCTATAGGGCTAAGGGCAAACCAGTGCCTCCGGAACACGCTGAGTCGATCCAGTTCCATGCAGAGTTCCAACGTTGTCCCCGCCTGAATGCATTGCTTCGGATTTCCGGTTTCAATAGAATATATTTGACTCCAAAATTGGCTGATGGACAAATTGATTCTGCCTGGAAAGTGATATGGATTCAGGGGACGTCACAACACATCGAAAGCCTCTCTGCTCAGATTGATGGAGCCGCTGGACTTCTGCGCAGTACCAAGTCATTTGGACTTCGGGTTGAAGCAGGATCTTTTGCCACAGCCTGGTTACGCCTCAAACCTGACCAAGAAGCACCAGATGTCAGACAGCGCAAGCATACATTCCGACTTCAACCTCTGCCTGTGGGCACAGACAAAGACATTTTGGCCAAATGGGCAGCTCAGGTGCAATGGGACATTCGCCCGCTCCGATCCATTGGAGCCAAGACATGGCTGGTTGCAGCCGATGAGCCACCACCGCCATTGCTTTGCTTCAATACCCAACCATTGCTGGTTCAAAAGGTCACCCAAAAGACCATGCACAACTCAGGTGATATCATTGCGGGCCCACGACAACCCCCGGCGACCAAGCCAGGGGCGCAGACGGCACATCCCAAGCTAAATGTTTTCTTTGAAGGAGATCCCCACATGGACCCTTGGGCACCCGAGAAGAAAGAGCATTTAGAATCAAAACTCACAGGTAGTGAAGCTGCAGTCTCAGCACCTAGCCGATCCTTGCCGGGCCCTGTTAGCGATCAGTTCCAACAACAAGGCAGCCGACTTCAAGCGCTTGAAACAGCAGTTGCGAAGCTTCATGAAGACCAATTGAAGTTTGCCTCAACTACTGACCAAAAGATTTCGCAGGTTTCTGACCAACTCCACAAGCACATGGGAGACACCAAGAATAGCATTGAGCATTTGCACAAGGAACAGCTCAGCATGACACAATCCATCGCCCAAGCCCTGCAGAGACAAGATGACAGACTTGCTTCAAGCATGGATGAATTGAAGTTCTTGTTCTTGCAGACCAGAGGAATCAAGCGCAATAATAACGGAGAGCTGGACGAACCAGACGAGTCATTGGAGTGAAGACGTCTTGTGCCGAGACCCAGAGCCATTTTGGCCAGTCGCAATCCTTTTTGTCATGCCCATGATTCCGTTTTTGACCAAAGACACAATTGCCCAGCAATCCAATGCGATCTCACTTCATTGGAATTTTGTTATGCTGTGCTCCCAATCAAGTGCTTTGGTTTGCGTGAGAACTATCATAGGCTAATTCCTTTTTCATTGCAACAATGCCTTACACAGCGAAGCCTGTTTTTGTTAATTTGGGGTGACGTACCAAGTCCTCATCCAATGCATGCTTGTAGAATAGGAGAGGCCAAAAATCCAGGACCGGACATACCAGATGATTCTGATTCAGACCTTGTGACTTTTGCTATCACCAACCCCACAGCAGTTCATCAGAAAGCTGCTGATTTGGCCCTGCTGAAAGCGGACTGCCTGATCCTTTCAGAAACCAGTGCCACGAGCTTAGTCCAGTCTGCAGCTTCATCTGAATTTCGTGCCCATGGCTACAAGACCATCTGGGGTGCACCTGTGCCCCAGCAACTTAAGCAAGGGGACCCAAATAGCTTTAGCGGGGCTGCTATTGGCGTTTCTTTCCATAGTAAGTTGCCAATCCGACCTGCCCGAAGTAGCCTGGGGTCCGAATGGTATGATGCAGGACGTTTCCAACACGTCTTTCTCAGATTGCCCACTCTTGAGATCCAAATATGCAACTTGTACGGAATACCGGCATCAGTTGCATCGGCCAAAGCCCGTACCAATACCCTATTGCAATTTGCACACCAGACAGTCAGGCAAAGCACATTTCCTGCCATGATAGTTGGTGATCTCAACCAGCATCCTGACACACTAGATGAGATGACTTCTCTCCGCAGTGAGGGTTATCGATCTATGGAGGAGCTCTATCGGTCATTGTATGGACAGGAACTCCCCCCGACCTTTGGGGATGCGACCAGAAACGATGTTTGTCTCATACACCCCATATTAGCTGTTATGGTACATGATATCTGGATCGACCAACAACACCTTGTCACTGGTCACAACCCATTGTGCTTTAGATTGAAGGTGCCTACCCGAGAAATTACCAGACAATCATGGAATCTTCCCACACCGTGGGTTCATCTCCAGCCCAAAACAGCTTTGATTGGGGAGTGCTATGCCTCAGTTTTTGATCCCACTGGAGCCACTCTTCTTGGAGATACCCGAGCAGATGAGCATCCGATCCAAATATGGACCAACGCTGTCGAAAATGCAGTCCATGAGGCGCTCCGAAAGGAACATCAAGCTGACCCTCTGACCCAACCGTGGTCAAGTCTTCCGAGAAGGCATAGAGGTCGTTGTAAACCCAGGTCTTTAGTTCGCACCCCACTCCCAAGGTCCATAAAGACTGCCTGTGATGGCCAATATACTCCAGATGTTGACCAGCCCACCATGCATTTGCGACAAATCACTAGACAAATGAGACGCATTCAATCGCTGAAACAGCGCATCCGAAAAATTGAAATTGTACCGCCTAGCTCAACCACTATTGAGCAGCTTCACCAGGAATGGACATGCATCCTCCAATCTACAGGATACCACCATGGGTTTTGCCACTGGATGCGACAATTCCCAGAGCTACTCCCCATACCTTATTCCGTGCCATCGTTTGGGTTCCTTTATTTGCTTGAACAGCTCCATCGATTCCATCTTGATCAGGTCGCCTATGACCATAAGGTGCGACTTCAAAAGCTTCAACAGTACCAGCAAGATTTAGATAGCAAAAGATTCGGGCGATCAGATGCTTTCAGAAGAATCAGAGAGTCCTCACCAGGTTTGGTGGGTGTCCTGTCCAAAGAACATAGAGTTCCTGCCACCATGGTGTCACCACCAACATATGGGTTAGCCACGTTCTCATTAGGCCATCACATGGAGTTTGACTTCACCCAGCCAGTTTTTATTAATCAGCATGCATGCACAATAGTCCAGACTGATGGTTTTCAACTGGAAGTCATGATTCATGATGAGGTTGTCACCTTTCCAGATACTGTGGAAGTGATGCAGCCACGAGACACTGCTGAACCCAAAGAAGTGGCGGACCAACTTTCCATTTACTGGCGACAGTTTTGGAATCGAGACAGTTCTGGATCCCAGCATAATCTTGATCATTGGGAAGCCTTTGAAGCTCTTCGCCGTCAGATTCCCCCCAAACAGATTCTGACAGTTGATGTCACTAGTGTAGAGTTGCTTCAGACAGCCATTGCACAGATGTCATCCACCACCTCTAGAGGTTGTTGTGGTTGGTCTTCAGATGAACTCAAAGATTTGCCTGTCAATTGTGTGCGTGACCTTTTGCATCTATTCAACCTCATTCAAGAGGAGGGATTTCCTGACTGGATGATGCAAGCTCGAGTTCTGCCTGTCGCTAAGCACCACAAAGCTAACATGGCAAAGGCCACCCGGCCTATCACAGTACTTTCCTTACTGTACCGGTTGTACAGTAAATGGACCTCTAGACAAATTTTGCAAGCATGGACCCGCACACTCCCTGAATCAATTACTGGATTTCTGCCGGGACGAAGCTCCCACAAGCTGATATATGAGATGCAGCTTGCACTTGAAGCGACCAACCATGGACATTCTCACCTGCATTGGGGGGGTTTAACACTTGATATCATAAAAGCCTTTAACACCTTGCCACATTTACCACTTTGCCAACTACTCATCCATTTTGGAGTTCCACCTGCCCTGGTAAGAGCATGGATCTCATCCATTCAAAAAATGATCCGATACTGGCAGATTGACTCCCAGCTGTTTGTAGTGCCAGCTGCCACCACAGGAGTGCCCGAAGGTGATGCTTGGAGTGTTGTAGCCATGTTGGCTGTAAATATCTTCATGGTAACCTTAATGGCCCCACATGCTCAACGTTTGAATGCATTTGCAGATAATTGGAGTTACTCTACCACTGATCCAACGCAACATCTACCCGCCATGGCCACCCTCACGCAGATTGCTGAAGCATTGTCCATTGGAATTGATTGGGGGAAAACTTGGGCTTGGGGCACCTCTCAGCCGCATCAAGAGGCTTTGCAGGCTGCTAAGGACTCTGTTTTAGCTCCAGAAGTACGATTGCAGTTGGTCACACATGCCAGGGACTTGGGCTACATAATGCATTATCGTCTCGCGCCCTTTCGAGGCACACAGAAGGAAAGACATAAGCAGGCCTTGGCCAGACTGCACAGATTGCGTAAGGCTGATATTTCTGTTCAAGATAAAGCATATGTAGCGATGGCATCTGCCGTGACTAAGGCCCTGTATGGGACCCACATGTATCTGGTTGGCGAGGAGTATTTCTCCCACCTTAGATCCAAAATTGCCACGGCCATGCTGGGCTCTCACCATAATATCCAAAGCCATATAGCATGCAGCTGCCTTTCCCCAACCTTGGTAGATCCTGAGCTTTGGGTTATCCAGAATGCCATTAAAGAAGCCAGACTCTTCCTGCTACAAGCTGACCCTGCCTTGGTAAGCCTTTTTCTCCGCATGGCAGCCCACCATCAAGTTAGGTATAATTTGATAGTAGGACCTGCAATGGCGCTGAGCGCCTACTTGGCTAAACTTGGCTGGACCATTGACCAGCAGGGATGTATCCATTGCCCCAATTTCAACCACCTTCATTTGATCCACTGCAACCAAGAAGAGTTGATGCTGGCCACTGAACGTGCGTGGATGGAACATGTTTCCCTTTGTGTTAGCAATCGCCATCACCTCCGTAACTTGCCACGTATTGACAATCGTGCAACCGTAAAAATTTTCCAAGCTGTCCCACCGGAAAAGCAGAGAAGCGTAGGTCTTGACCTTTGTATGGGATACATGGTGAATGAACAAAAAGCACATTTTGATGAATTTCAGGACACTCACTGCCAATTCTGTGACCAAGCGGATACGGTGATGCATAGGGTTTTGCACTGCCAAGCCACGCAAGTGGTAAGAGCGAAATATCCTGCAGTGTGTGATTTCTTGCAAGACCATGACATGATTCATACGTTACTCCCGGCAGCTTATGCAGATCCAGAGGTGGACTTTCACTCTTTTGTTTTTGAAAAGTATCCTGAACCTCTATGCCAGCCATTGCCATATACCCCCAGGTTTCTTTTTACAGATGGATCCTGTAAGATGCCAGCCAGCCCAAGCCATAGATGGGCGTCCTACGCAGTAGTTGCTACTCCATATGACCTCTCGCAAGTGCCTTGTGAACGATTAAATGATGCTTCATGTTTGCTGCAGAACACTTTCGACACAGTCGCAGTGTCACATGTTACTGGCCTCCAAACAATTCCTCGTGCAGAGCTTATGGCTGCAACTCTTGCTCAGGAAATGCAGTTGCAGGTGCCTGTAGTAACAGACTCACAATACGTCATGTACGTGCATCATTTGATTGAACAGACTCCATACGTTTGGAAATTAGCCAAGAAAAAGAATTTTGACCTTCTGCGCAGATTGCATGCTCTGCATTGGGATCAACGTATGGATATTCCAATTCTCAAGGTGAAAGCTCACCAAAAAATTAGTCGAGAAGACCCAAATGCTTTCATGAAGCTTGGTAACATGGTTGCTGATTGTGCTGCTACGCAGACCCAGGAACATTTGGCACGCCATTTTACGACCAATCTAGCCCGGCTTGCCCACGAAAGTAAGCAGATGAAAGATATGCTTTGCCAACATCTGACCATGCGAGCAGAATTGGCAGAGTTACGCAAACGTTTGGAAACAGAAACCGTCCAGACAGAGACAGTTGAGCCTAAGGCGAACTTCTTTAAGCAATATGTTGTGAATAACCCAGTTAAGTACACTTTTACACTTGACCAGTTTGAACATGTCCATGCTTCTCGGTTTGGCTCTCGCTACAGTGCACTGGTACTGGAATGGCTGCAGACCTTGGAATGGCCAACTCATCCTGACCGACAAAAGCCTCCGGTGGGGGTGACGTGGCTGGAACTAGCATGTAACTTCATGATCACGACACAGCATAGCTTGAAGATAAATGTTTCTCCTCATGGACAGCCTACGAAATACTCATGCATGGAAGAGGACATTACATTGGACCATACTGTACATTGTTTTTCCTTGGCGACGAACGCACTACGAGATTGTATAGCTCATCTGGGCTTTCTTTTGCAGACAGACCTTCTTCCAACTCTGAAGCCGCAGAAAGTCACCTCACTTAGGAAAATGGGTGGCAACGCCACCAAGCAGGGCATTGCTTTCAGACCGGTAATGAAACGTCAAAGTGAGACAGTTGATTTACTTGTGGCGTATTTTGAACAGCAACAGGGTAGCCGAAATTTCACCAAGTGGCCGAATATCCCGTACAGTGAACCGTGTGTTCAGACAACCGTACAGGGTCCAAATGAGGATAATCAGGAGGACCGGAACCGCCGGTATAATGCCAGGCGAAGAGACATACGCCTGTCCAGACAAGCAACGTGAACTTGATTGTGTTATCACCCATTTGTGTTGTGAGACTCCGAGGTTCTTATTTGGATTTTGATTACCTCTGTTGCTGATCTTGTTGTGATGCTTGTCTTCTCAGGACTAGACTTCAGTTTCTAAGGACATGGACAGGTTCGTCCTTGCACATGCGGGGGACGGGCCGCGGAGCGCAAGTGGGTGGCCCAGCAATTCCGGTGAGTGAAATATGATAATTTACCCAGATTAATAGTAAATAATAGAGATATACTATCAGGTTGGTGGTTTGGAACTTGAATTTTATTTTCCATTTCATATATGGAATAATCCTTCCCATTGACTAGTATTTTTCAGGGCTGAAACCACCAACCAGCTATCATAATGAATGTACTAGCCTTCAATAGCCTTCATAATAATAGTATATTAATAATGATAGTATTATGATTAGACTAACCTTCATATATTGGGGAAATCCCCGATTAACATTGATTATTATTGGCAATCCAATTAGGTATTATCATAATCCAATTATATGCCAATATATTGGGGATGATTCAGAATGATAATCCAATTAGGGAAATCCCTGTTGACGTTGATTCCCCTCTGGTAATTTGTTACAGTGTGCTATTGAAAATTGCCAAAATGGCCCATTGAGTTCGTTGATTTACCTATTCAAAATTGTGATTTCCCATGTCAAACTGTTAGTTTACCAGAGGGTATATTATGGGGCTTTACTATCCTTTATTTGCTGGGGATCTGCTGGGGATTATCACAATCCACAAACACGGACTTGACAAATGATGCGGACAAAATTGGGGCTTTGGTGATGGTTAAAACATGTTAAAACACATATTATTAAAAAAGAACAACTACAAAAATGGGTGGGTTCACCATCATCAAGGTTTGACCAATTTGGTTGCGTTACAAGCATGGTTTTGGGGCATGGTTTTGGGGGTTGGTCCAACTTAAATGGAAATTTTGGCGCGGAAAAGTGCATTTATTGTGCATTTCACCATCAACAATCTGGATTTAAGCCACACATGTGCTTGTATATGGTATGGTTTGATGGTTTCCCATACATAAATTGGGGACTAAAGCATAATTGGATCCAACATCAACCAGTCAGAAATTTATATATATATGGTATTTATGGTTTCAAACTAGTGGTTGGCCGTGTCATTTCTTTTCTTTCCCTTGCTTGGAATTGATGGGTGAACGGTGATTCACCGCCACTCAGATGACTCCAACTTTGGTTGATAACTAGATGTGAAGTTGTATGAACCTTCAATTTGTCCAAGTTGAGATTTACAATCCATTAGTCAATGGAGTGGGCCTGCAAGAAATAGATAGAAATAGTAGAGTTCCAGCCGCGTTTGATGTGTTTGGATGATTTGATTTTCTGCTGAGTTAGAGTGGGTGTTAAGTCACCTCACGGAAGGTGCATCATGGCCTTGACGAATCTGGAGGCCATCATCAAGTTGCCATGGCACGTGTTGGAATTTGACATGTCGGCAAAGTGTCTCATGATTCTCATGGCAATACAAACCGTCAGTATTGAATAGTATTGATATATCCAAGATGAGTTCATGACTTGGTTGTCTACCTACAATCAATCGGTCACCTTTCAAGCAAGCAGGGTTGTGATGGCGCTAGGTACCTCCGAATGTGCATCTGAGCGAGCTGAATCCCCACCTTGACTTGAAGGACAGATTTTGGGCAGCTGAAAGGTCTGAGTGCTGACAGTTGAGATTGGGAGCGGTAGAACAACAACCATGGCAGCCATGGGACACTAAACATCATCATCATTATTTGAGACCTCAAAACCTAACCCACTCAATACGGTGTTTTTCTCTGCACTTTTAGTGAGTTTTGGGGTGTCCATGTTGTCGATGAGCGGCATCCATTTCTTTCCATGTTGAGTTTCCACAAAAAGGTGTCCTACTTATAGGTACTCCGAATTCCAATGGATTATGATGGATTGTGTCCCTTCTAACATGACCATTTGATGCCATTTGTTTGATACCATTTGGGGATATATCATGATATATCTTCTATTTCATGGCGCCATGTGTTTTAAGGTCTGTTGCCCTCACTTGTGGGAATGCATCGATCATCATCGATTTTCAGGATTTCCTGGTGGTGCCCTCATCCAGCCATGTGGTGTCCGAGTCTGCACCAAAAGTTCCTGGGATCTGCACCGGTACCGTGTAGCGTGTGGAAATTGCAATGGGAAAACCACGGAAACCAAAAAGGGTGATCCGATCACGGTGATCCTTCGGAATTGGTGGGCGAATAGGTTAGTGAATGGGAATGTGTTCCCAACATTTGAGAGTGCCAGAGTGCCCACCTGAAAAGTTTAAGTTGGGTATCCAAGCTTAGGTTTTTTTCCGTGATTTCGATGATTTATGTTACAACAACATGTTAGACCTTCATGGCTCCCAAACCTCACATCTGAGTCATGGTGAATTTGATGTCGGGTCCCAGAGATTTAGCCACCCAGAAATGGCCCAGAAACCATGGAAGCCACCATGGTCAGCCGTAGAGGGGATGAAATATATGAAATATACGAAATCATAACTTAAAATCATGACTGGGACCATAGAAATCCATAGAATGGGGCTGTGTTTTTGCAGTCTTTAAGAAAAAGACGTCGGAAGTGTAAAAGACAAGGTCACCCCACTTTTTGTGCAGGGCAAGAGCTAGTTCAGCGTGGTTGTGAACCTATCATGTCTGTGAAATCAGGTTCTATATGTCATTAACGTGAAATCATCTGAACTGACAGGTTGTAAAACTATGCAAGTTATGATAAAACATATGATGTGAATTGGCAGGTTTACTGGGGTTTTGTTCAGTAAGGTTTCATTTTTTTAGTGCCCTAACTTTGTTGATGGCAGAAGGGCACTGCTCACATAGAAATACCTCAAACTATCTCAAAATCACAAAATGACTAACCCCCAAAAAATGGAACGGCTTGACACGGATAACAACAAAATATGCCAAGTTTAAGATTATAGTTCCAATACTTTATATTTATCAATATGTTGATCATTAAGTTTGAATATAGTTCCAATATGTGATATATATATATATATATAATTAGAGTATCAAAGTTTAATATACTGTATAATATATATGTATATGTATATATCATATATATATATATTATTATCATCATCATATTTATAGTTCCTCATGTTTTTTGTTGTGACCATCTGCACCGGCAGCGGCAGATGGGTTTGTCCTCCTTTGGCTTCGGTGGCACCAACGCGCACGCTGTTCTGGCGCGACGAGGGCCGCTCAGGCGAGCCCATGGCGGTCGCTGGTTGATGAAACCTCCATATGGGTTTGTCTGAAAATAGGGTATATTCCCAATGAAATAGCCATTTAAAAACGGGATTGTCTGATCAGCAAAACCATTGGGTAAAAAGGGGTACACTATATCATCCAATATGGATTTGTAACTTGGATGTACCCGAAATGGTAAACGTTTACATAAACGAACTGGAAAGATCCACCATTTTCAATGGGTAAATCCACTATATCAATGGCCATTTTCAATAGCAAACTGTTTGTTTACCAGAGGTTAACTATCATCAAGTCCCATTAAATCCCATTAAAATTCCATAGTTGATGGTGAAATCCCATCAAATCCCATAGTTTACCAGACGGTACTTGGGATTGTTCAATCAGGGCGCCTTTTTGAGGCCACCTGGGGACGAAGTGAACTTCAAGAGCGTGCCATTCCCCTGGGCACAGGTTCGCCGGTTGGGGACCGTGCTTGGCGCCCGGTGCCTTTTCACGGTCCAAATTTTGGGGATTTGTCCACCAGCATTTTCTAGGGTTTTTGCCAATGTGTTTGCCATAACTATGTGGAGATTTAAGTGAACATCATAGATTTCTGGTTGGTTGATGATTAGTTGCGGGCTGATACTAGCCATAACATTCGTTGGAGACGATCATCTTAATCATCGTCCATGAACCTTTACGGGACTGGCTATCACCTGGAGTCTCAAAGTGCAGAATCTTGACAGAGTTGAAACAAGTTCCGAAATGTGTGGGCAAAATGCATCAAAATGCCATTTTTGTGATAGAGCCTTCGGAACCCTTCTGTAATTCAAACGTTGCAATGGCAATTTGATCTATAGATTAGAGTTCCCCCTTGACTCAACTGCCAGGTACCTCGCCTTCTGCGTCTCTATCGCACTGGCAAGGAGACTGTTTTCGAGGCAGCCATGAATGGCATCATCTTGTTTGAACATGGAAGTAGCCTCCGGTAAACTAACATTGCTATGGAAGCTACAATGGTGTTCTTGACAATAAAACATGGTGATGTTTAGATGTTAAATTACGAGAGATTTACCAGAGGGTATATGGAATGTGTCAAAACGAAATTAAAACCATTCTGTGTACCACGCTTGTGGGGATAAAGATCCACAAAGCCGCCATTTCTAGGTCCCATTTGTTGACCCCAAAGAGTTGTTGCCCATTTCATCATATTTCATCCATGTTCATCCCATGGTTTCGCCCTAATCTTTCCAATGCTGTGATGGTCTGGCTCAGGTGCAGCTGGATAAGGACCTGCTGGAGTATCAGCGTCAGCTCTACAAGCAGAAGCAGATCTCACCAGCTCTGTTGGTGGCATTGGTGGGGATTCCGAGCTGCCGATCCAAGAGGAAGTTCACAAGCCGGCCACTCTTGGCAAAAAAAAAATAGATACTGACATACAATACCCTAGTGCTCCAAAAAACCTTCCAAAGTGTACCCCAAACACAACTCCCAAATACAAACACGTCTCAGAATTTGTTTGGATTTGCAGGGGTAGTCCCATTGTTACCTTGATTGCTACCCATTGATGATTTTTCGAAAATCAAGGTATTGGGGAGGTATTTGGGAGCAATGGCCCACTGTCTACTATTGAATAGCCCCCAGAAACCGTAGGGTGCCGCACGAGGGGATTTTCCCGTATGTGTTATCAACTGCGTAGGCGAATGATGCTAATGGATGGATTTATGGTATGATAAATGATGTATATATGAGCAAGAGGCTAAACTCTCCGTGTACGAGGTATGTATTCGAGCGATCTTTCATGTAAAAATATGCATCTTGATATGTAAAACGATATAGTGAACTCCCAAAAACGATAACGTGGGAATCATATCATATGTAAAAGCATTGTGGGAAGTGAAGGGGTGGTGTACATGACATCATGGTGGACACCTGTTCTAGAAGCATCTAGATCATCTAGGCTCTCAGTTGTGGGGTATACGTCATGACCAGCTCACACAACGGAAGATGTGCAAAAGTATGCTGACACTCTTGATCCTGGCCAATTTCTTTATTTCTGATTATTGCAAACAGTTTTGTATCCAAGCACGTATTGCTCATCCAGACTTCTTCCAACAACTGAATTCAAACTTGTTTCTGAGTTTGAGAAAGGATGGTGCAACTGTGATTTGCAGTTGCATTAACAGGTATCATACCATACCATACAGTTGGAGCGCTGCAAAAGAAAGCGCAGGGCAGTCAAACATGCTTCAGACGCTGAAGTGGAGGTGTAAAAAGGCTTTCCGCACGCAGTTTGCCAGGGGATGCAAATGATGCAATCAGGATATACTGTAAAACGATATAGTGAACTCCCAAAAACGATAACTTTGACCCGAAGATCGCATTTTTCAATTGAGGTTTTGCCGATCGCTCATATATATATATAAATGTCACTTCTTGATCTTACTCATGGATAGACCTACACTTTGGATAGGTGAGAATAAGCCAACCTATCTCTCGGGGGCAAACCTGTTTTAAGCGTGATGGGCATTTGAAATATTGTACACATGTTTGATCATGTTTGCTGTTTGAGTTGCCATGGTTTCCAATTTTTGCAGCCCAGTCTTGCTATGTTTGCTCGTTCATGAAAAAAGTACAAAGGCTGAAGGGTATGTTGAGGGTCTAGATGAATAGCAAGCATTGTTACTGACCAATTAAAGGACTGTCAAGAAAGAAACACACCATGTGGTTCATGCTAACTGATGGATCTCTCATGAATCAATATTCGATTGTTCAACCCAGAATCTCTTAAACAATGAGGTGACCTCATTGAGGTGGTGATAGTCACACCTGAAAATTTGAACGTGATATTGTCCATGCCGACATTTGAGTCTTCTGGTGTTTCTTAGAATCAGAGGGGGCCAAACAGATGGGTTTTCCTGCCAGATTCTCAGATCCTACTGGACTGTACTATGGTGGACCAAAGTGGGTGGATTTGGGAGAGTCACAGTCTGCGTTTTTTCACAGTCATCACAGGCCATGGAAGGTTGCCGACGGCATGTAAAGCAAGCTGCTTCAGTGCAATTCTGAGTTTCACGGAGCAGTGGGTACTGAAACTCAGATGGTCAGTTGGTGTTGCAACATGTTGCAATAAAGTGGCTCAAACTTGGATTGGTACTTTAATGTTTAATTATATAATTAATATGCATGAATATATGTTTAAACATATCATCTTGCTACAAACGGAGATCTTTACTAATCAGCCAAACAAACAAACGCCAGGGTGTCCAAGATTGGGTCTGCTAGTCAATGTATGTATTCGATGTTTTGGTCTTGTAATAAGTTCTAGCCCTTTCCGTCCCTCTTTACGTTCACATTCTATCACCACACGATTATTTTTGTGGGGGACAGAAGTCCTATTTGAAGTTGTGATTGGCCCCTGTGGATCCATGTTGTAGGTGACCATATGGCGCCCTTTCAACAGTGAGTTAATCTAACTTGGGAGCACCGTTGCAGCAGCTGCAAGAGAAGATCTTACCTGAACCCCAAATGACCCCCAAAGCACCAAGGCAAGTCCAACTGTCACAACTGTCAAGCGTATTGCTCTACTCATACCATTTTGCAAGCCATTGCAAGCCATCAATCACTACCAATCCAAAGCCCTTTTGGGATTCTGGGGAGTGAATTTGCCAAATCGGCTGGCTGGCTTTCACTCGCTCTCATAGGGTCGAGCAGTTCACTGCACCTCTGAGGCCTGTAACGCCTTAGAGACCATGTTGAATACTTGAAAGGGATAGGTTGAGTCTTCCTAGATCCCGTTACATATTAAGACTAAATTGGGTGATCGGAAAAAAAAACATCACTCATTTTTGGGAAATCTCTTTACCATAACGTCATAAAACATCCATGGAATCCATAGCTTCAATCTTCGCTCCGGGAAAGTCTGAGGTGCAACTGAAAGCATTGAAGATGACCGTCAGCGCCTGAGCGGTTTCTGCAAAATGCCGATGATTTTTAGGGCCGTGGGGCCATGAAGAAATTTATTTTTGATCGGTAAACAACATGTTTTTTTGTTGCCAAACATCAATTATAGTGAATGAATTATTTGTTTAGTATGTTTGTATACATGAGTTCCATATGGAGTGGATAGAAAAATACGAAGTTGAGTTGTTGTAGTGTGCCAGCAATGTTGACTGCTGCTTTGAGAATTGAGGAGACGAGGGGTGGTCAACGGGGTCTGGAAAATATGTTATTATTCTATCTCTTTAAAACACCTTCAAAACACAGGAAACATGATGCCTTTGGAGTTGTATTTCTTCAAAATATCTCAAAATCATATATTTTAGGTGTTGAACAATTTTATTTGCTAGTTTACCCAGATTTCGAAATCAATGATTTTTTAAATATTATATCTGTTGGTTAGTTAATATATTTATATAATTATATATATATATGTTTTCTGGCCATTCTTGGTGGCTTGAGGTTTGTTCATGCTTCCCACAAGCTTGCGATTGGGTGAAATTGCACGCAGCAATGTCTTGATATTTGCGCAAACAACTTGACGTACATGCGCAATATTATAATGCTATATATATATATATGATTATATAATATTATATATGTGTATATATCGATATGATTCATACATGAATATTTTGTAAATGATACGGTAGTTTTTACCTACACAACATCGATATCAGACACTAAGTCATGCTGGTCGAAGTAGAAACGCATCGCAAGCGTCGCAGGCACCTTGCATTCTGCCGTCTGACTACGATGGTTCCGCTCTGAGAACTTTTCGATGCACGTGTCCCAGCTGCGCTGAAAAACATCTCCTGAGGTCACACCTGGCTTCGCCTGTCCATCAACGAGCCCGGGACGTAGAACACCTGAGACGGTCTTGAGATAATTTGAGACATAGTCCCAAAAAGATAGAAAAGTAATTTATCGCTAGTTAGTAATGGAAGGATTTTACTTTTTCATTCCTTTTCTATCAATATCTATTTGGGGATGACTAAGGCTTTGGGACAAGAGGAAGCCTATGGACACGACATGTTTTGGGATGGAAAATAAGAACCGCTGCCGCCGTGACCCACAATTTACTTATAGCTTATAAACCTGACTGTTTTGCTCAACAGTTTGATAGTGTTACTAATTTTCATTGGCACAATTACATAGAGTCGAGGCTCTAGGTCTAGCTGGTGCTCTAGCTTAAACGTTCAGATACATCTGAGTCTCTGAATAATGAAGCTAACCTGCCAAGCTGTGGATTTTGGAGGTCTCAGATTTTGAGGCAGATTCACCGTGTTTATTTGTTCCAACCTCATGGCAGATTTGCCAACCTTCGCCAGTTTCCGAGGCAGCAGTTTGAGGTCGGAAGCAGGCACCGATTTTCTCAAAAGGCAGGGCTGATGGAGAACGGTGAGTTGAAAGGTGGATTTCTACAAGCAGTTGATTGGTTCAAGTCGAACTTTCATGGTTTAATCATGGTTTAACCATGTGGGTGTGATTGGGTGATCCTTACCTTGGCAGGCCTGGCAGATTCACTGTGTGGGGCGTTTCAGCACGCAGGCGATAGATACGGGGGCTTCAATGGGAACGCCGTTGAAGCGAATTCGAGTGGGTCATAAGCATGACTCCCTTACTGTATCTTACCATTCTAGCTGATCTGAGGAATTTTATTTTGCCAGCTGCAACTTTGGGAGTGCATGTTTTAGCAGCATTAATAGCTTTCCTGAGACATTTCAGACACCATGCGAGCTTGAAGTGGACACGATCAGGTTGCAACGCGGCCGTGGGGGACTTACTGGATACTTGGGGTGACAAACACGACAGATCATTGATTCATTGTAGGTTCAGGGTCCTTGTATGTCACCCTTTATTTTAAGCAAACATCACTTGAATGAATGGTGGACTGATAGTTGCTTGAACCCAGCCAAAAGCTGATGCTTACAGGCAAAATCTATGGGGAGAAAGGTTTGGAAGCAGGTTTTGAAATTCTGATAGATCGATACATATACATGATTATACAATATTATACATACATACATACATATACATGATTATACATACATACATACATATACATAGTATATATATTATATATATATATTATATTATATTATATTATATTATATTATATATATTATATTATATATATTATATTATATATATTATATTATATTATATATTATATATACACTATATAATATGATAGAATATCTCTAGTGGGATGGGTTTATGCGTGTATTATATGCATACATATATGATAGAAAGGATATAAAGACAGTGAACTCCCCGGGCCGTCCCTGAGGTCTACTGCAAGCCTGGGATCCTTGAGCATCCTGGGAGGAGTGAGAAGGTGACGGTCAGATGTGGGTTTTAAGATGTCCAGAATGGGAAGACATGGGGATAAGACCATCACAGATAGGGCGTAGGCATCAAAAAAAAATAAAGGACGAAAAGAAGAAAGACAGGAAGGAAAGAAGACAGGAAGGAAGACGGAAAGGAAGGAAGGAAGAAAGGAAGGAAGGAAGGAAGAAAGGAAGGAAACAAGAAAGGAAGGAAACAAGAAAGGAAGAAAGAAAAAGGAACCAAAGAAGAAAGGAAGGAAGAAAGAAAAGAAGGAAGAAAGGACGGAGACGAGAAAGGAAGGAAACAAGAAAGGAAAGAAATAATGATGTAATATTACATGCAGAAGAGATCATTCAAATTACATGCAGGCATCACCGTAGCAGTTGCGTACTGTTATTTATGTATATGTTTATATACATATATATATGCATTTATATACACACTTATATATTTATATTTAAATATATTTATATTATTTATATTTTCTGTTTATATTTTTATATACATAGTATTTCTATTTATGTTCAAATTCAAATATATATATATACTTACATATAGAAATATGTAAATATATACATATACTTATATTTATGCATGTATATATACACTTATATATATATATTTATGTATTTATATTTAAATATTTATATTTACATATTAATATATATATATATATATTTATGTACTTATATATATATATACACATTCATATGTATATACATATAACTGTATATATATATAAATGAGTATGTATCTACAAGTATATATACTGTATTCCACATGTTTCCAGGGTGCATGTCGTGTAGTCTATACACCTTGAGTATCACATTCAAGCCAGCACCTTGCATGTGAAAATAGGTGTTTCCAATCTGCTTTGGGGGGGAGGCGCTGCGCACTCCCCCCCAATCCCCCCCTCCCGCTTTTTTTTAACTATTTAAATAAAAAAGAAAGACACTTTTCAATACACTATATAGTTTGATTCGACTATATTCATATTTATGTTAAAAATTATGTGTATATATATACATATATCTAGACATATATATATATATAGACACATATATATATATGTTGTGAATTGAACTCATTTGAACATCTTGTTGACTTGAAGACACCACGATAACACCCAGGTACACCAGTTTAGGTCTCTACTTTTCCATAGGCATGTATGCTCGAGAGAGCCCTGGAGACGTGGTGGGAGGGTCATTTGCCTTGGCCATAGCTACTGGTTCCTTTTTGGCTGTGGAAAGCCATTTGCGGTAGTGGGACTACCTTGAATCGTGTGGCAAAAGCACGAGGGCGTGCGTGAGCGGTCAGGTGGCCGGTTGGTGGAGATCTTGGAATTGATAAGGGGGCCCGCTATCCAATCACATTGGTAGCGGAGCCCCCGGTGCAAGCTAAACCGGGGGCATCCAGGTACCTTTTGGGATTTGATTGACAAATTTGTGTGCGAGGCCATCTCAAATCTTTGACAGGAACGACATGTCAGGTGAAGGATCAGAGACGACAGGTGGAAGCATATCAAGTCAGTTAGCTTATTTGGTGCCGAGTTTTGACCCAAGCAAGGACGATGTACAGATTTATCAACAGAAGGTTCAACTTGTTTTGTCAGTGTGGCCTGCAGCAAAAGTTTCTGAACTGATCGCCCGACTGATCTTAAACACCAGTGGTTCAGCATTCGCCAAGTTGCAACTTCATCAGACAGAGCTGTGTGTGAACGATGCCAAAGGCGTGAAACGCCTGATTGAGATTCTGGGCGGACACTGGGGCCGAACCGGCCTCGAGAAACGCTACTCCGATGCCGAGAAAGCCATCTATCAGTGCAATCAACAGCAGGATGAAAGTCACGATTCCTATCTTGCCAGAGCTGACATTCTGTGGACAAAACTCAGGACTCAGGACTTGAAGCTTGAAGATCTTCAGGCCTATGTGACTCTCCGTGGTGCCATGCTGACAAATGATGATAAGAAGCGTGTCATTATTGAGAGCGACAATTCTGTGGAAGGAAAATTGACAGTAACCAAGGTGCAGGATTCAATCAGAATGCTTGGGACTTCATTTTTCCAAGAAATGACAGGTCAAGGAAAGAAGTCTCTCAAGACGAAAGTGTACGATTCAGTCAACATGTCACTGGATGTTTCTGAAAATTCCACAGATGCAGATGAATATGCCAACGTAGCCAGTCATGATGAGTGGACGGAAGAGGATTTCACTGAAGTGTTAGCACAAGAAGGCGACGACGACGCAGTTTATGTCATGGACTTTGAGACGGCGGCAGCAGATGTGTTGCAGGGAGACGAAGAACTCGCATCAGCATACACCACATATGTAGATGCCAGGCGAAAACTCAGTGAAAAATTCCGTGCCCGTGGTTTCTGGCCTGTTGGAAAGGGGAAGAAAGGATTCTCCAAAGGAAAGTTCAAATCCAAGACGGGTTGGAACGGCAGCCGAAAGAGTTTGCAACAGCGAATTCTTGAAAGTAATTGCAGGATATGTGGAAAGAAAGGGCATTGGAAATCCGAGTGCCCACAGAGATCTCAGTCCAATTCCAGTGGTTCAAGCTCAGTTCCCGTGACCTTGTCCCTGGGAGAAAACTCCATCGATGCCGAAGATGTCATGCCGATGGAGTTCATGAACTTGCCAGAGGTTCCAGAAGAGCCGTCAAAGGACCCATCATCCGGTGTCTCTGATGTTTTTGTACAGACAGTTTTTTTCCGAAGTGCAGCATGTGATAATCAGTCCATAGGAAATCAACATGAGTTTGGTAACTGGGATAGAATGAAGGCTTATATTAAGGGTAATAACAGCCGTAAGTCTATAGTTGCCTCGCTCGTGGACAGGATTGAGTCCAAGCTGCGCCAACCAACCGCTGAGAGCCCATTGTGCCTGAGCACCAAACGCCATTTTGGCGATGCATCCGAAACCAAGCCCAAAGGGGCATTCCGATCCATGCGTGCCGAAGGTCAGGCCTCACAAGAAGGTCATGACACAATCCAGCCATCAAACCAATGCAAATCGATGCCATCCAATTTTCCTGTAGCTGAGACCATGTTTGCCACACATGATGCATGGGGAATAATCGACACAGGGGCTACTAAGACTGTAATTGGAAGCCAACACATAGCCGAATTTCTTCAAGCACTTGATCCTTCCGTACGTAATCAGGTGAAGAGATGCAAATGTGAAGTTACGTTCAGGTTTGGAAACCAAGGAGTCTTGAAATCTCAACAAGCAATTGTTCTGCCGGTATGTGGTCTTGGCCTTAAAATTGCAGTAGTTCCTGGAGCCACGCCGTTCCTGCTGTCCAATACCCTCATGCGTGTAATGGGTGCCATGGTTGATACAGAGAATCACCAACTAATACTTCCCAAACACCAAATCAATGTTCCACTTCACCTCACTTCCAAAGGTTTGTATCTGATTGATGTGAATGCCCTCACGCGAGTTCAGAAGCCAGCAGGAAGTTCAGTCGAAATGGCCGAAACGTTTTTGCATGACGACCTGGAAGCACCCAGCAAAAGCCAGAGCGTTGACGCCAACAGTCATGGAACTAAGGGTCCGAAGTCAGAACAGCCAGAGATTTCCATGGAGCCACGTGTCCAAGAAAATGACAATGCCACGGAAACACACCCTTGTCACATGTCAACTTCAAATGATAATAAGAAACATGTCACGTTCAGTATCAGTAATTCCTCAACAAATCTCTCTGAGAAATCCGACAGCATGAATGTGACAGGAACACCTGCTGACAGCCATCTTTCTCTGAACGAAAACTCGTGCCCAGATCGTGATCACAGTCAGATCGTTCACCATGAGCGACTGGGGTGCTCGCCTCAAGCGTGTTCAGGAAGCTCAGTTGAGCGAGGAGACCGAAGAGATTCCCGATGTGAGCTTGGAAATCCTGAAGATGGAGACACTGACCTTCGGTCAGACCTATGTGGGTCGCACGTACGAGGAGTTGTGGAACCAGCACCCAAGCTGGATCAAGTGGTTCTACCAGCACTACAAGAAAAGCACGAAGGCTGCCCACAAGAGGGTCATCATGTTCATCGAGAAGCGCATTGCCGAAGCAGAATTGTCAGGACCGGTGACATCACAGTCACCAGTGACACCAGCTCCAAAGAGCCTAGCAGCACCCAAAGTGATGCCGACGCAGCCGAAGGCCAAATCCATGCCAAGATCATCAGCGGAGGAAGAGATCGAGCCCGAGCTACTGATGGAGCCAGGCAATCCGTGGCCTGCCACGGAAGACCGCCTGATGATTCATGGATTGCAGCAAAGGGTCCTCAACATGGAGAACGCCATTCACCAGATCCTGTCCCATCTCACTCCGGCCAATGCGGCAGTGCCGACAGCTGCACCATCAGTGATGTCCGCGACGGAGCTCATGAACGAGTGGGACGATCCCTGGAATCCATGAGAAGCCAGGCCGAAGAAGGCACACTCCTGTATTCAGCGGGGGAAATAGATGAGTTTTGCGAAACCATGCCAAACCAAGAAAGGAAGAGATTTTGGGCCCTAGTGGAATTGATCGAAAAGGAATATGAAACCATATCCAAAAGGGTCAAACCTATGGGAAAACCAATTCATCTTATGGAAGTGTTTTGCAGTAGTGACAGCAGCCTGACAAAACAAGTTCAACAGTTGGGTGGCCATGCCATTCGGTTCGGTCTTGCTCAGGGTGATCTACAGACAGTTGAAGGACGCAAAGATTTGCTGACAGCCTTATGCCGCCATTGTCCAAAGCATGTTTGGCTGAGTCCGAGATGCGGTCCATGGTCATGTTGGTCCAACTTTAATCAAAATAGATCACTGCAGATGTGAGACAAAGTTCACTCGGACAGGCTGGAAATGCTTGTGCAGGTAGCACTGTGCCTCGTGCTGTCCCGCATCCAAGTGCGGAATTCCCGACATGTGCGCTGGGAACAGCCCAAGGGTTCACTCATGCTAAGACTGCCGTATGTCCAAGAGATCTTCCAATACATGCTCATGGCCCAACCAGACCTTTGTAATGCCGGTAATCTGAGGGATCCCATAAACCAGAAACCCATTCGTAAAGGGCTTAACATTGCAACGACATCACAACAGATGTTTGCCACTCTAGATCCACTGCGATGCAACGGTCAGCATGAACATCAGGTCATAGAAGGCTCCACCTTTGCACATGGACAATCAATGCCTCGTTCAGTGTTTTCTGAGTTTTACCCTCGCAAGTTTGCCCGAATAATTGCCAAGGTCGTGACAAAAGTGAGATTTCCAAATGAATGTCCTTTGGGCCCAGTGTATGATCCCATCCTGTGCATGTTTGATCAAGTGTTGACCTTGAACTCACGACCCAGCAAGCGGCCGAGATTGGGACCAAGTCGGTCTCTTAAAGCCAAGACTGCCGACAGATCACTCAATGCACCAGATGATGCCAAAAGACTGAAGACTGTTGAGAAGGAATCAGAACAACCCATGGTGAACATGTCCAGTCCTGCCAATGCACAAGAAGTCATGTCCATGGTTGAGCCAATGTTGCCTCGAGTTGGTCGCAAAGAAATAGATCAGCCTAATGTTCTTCAACTGGTTCAGAAAGTTTTTCCTGATAAGAGGGTTGTGAAAGTCATAGCATGCAAAGGCACCGAGAGAGCCTTAGGTCCTCCGAAAAACTTGAATCCCAGAGAAGCGCCATATCGTAGGGCAATCATGAAATCAAGAACTGACTTGAAAGTGTACTGCCAAGAACAGTGGGAACAATATGATCAGATCTCAAACCGTCAAATCAACAAGAAATTGCATCCGTGCAGAGTGAATATAACTGTCTTTGCAGCGAACCTGGAAGGTTCTGGATCCGCCAGCGGTAGAAATGCGAATGCTGAGGCAGTAGCAGTGCCAGTTGTCAAAGCCACCGAGCCAAATGTGGATCCTCCCAAATCAGACAAAGAACAAAATGGTGAGACAGTTGACATAGATGTGCAACATAGAGATGAACAACCTGAGATTTCCGAACGTGCCACTTTTCAGCCTGATCAGGGAGTGTCCCATCCAAGCAGTGCTGAGGGTGTACAGGACGTAGAAAGTCATGGGCCGAGATTTAAAGCACTACCCCGTGAAGAACAGGCCATGCTGAAACGTGCTCATCAGAATCTTTGTCATCCAAGTCCAGAGCAGTTAAGCACAGCTTTGCGAAATCAAGGAGTACGTCCAGAAGTGTCACAGGCGGTGTTTGACATGTCATGTCCTGTTTGTGCCAAAACTCAGAAACCAAAAATTGCTCGTCCCAGCACATTGAAATGTGAGCTGGACTTCAATGATAAGGTGTTTCTTGATGGTATCACATGGACCAGTCAATCCGGTAAGACATTTCATTTCTATCACCTGATAGATCAAGCCACGAACTTTCATGTTGCTGTGCCAGCTCCAAACCGATCAGCCGAGAGTGCCATTCAGTGTGTCACCGAATCATGGCTTCAGTGGGCAGGACCTCCTAACAGTTTGATCACAGATTCAGCAACAGAATTTACAAGTGAACTGTTTGGAAATTTCATGCAACGCCACGACATCAAGCCTGTGACCACTGCGCCATATGCACATTGGCAGAATGGCCGTTGCGAACGTCATGGTGACATCTTGCAACACATGCTCATGAAAATTGACCTTGAAATGCCAATCAACTCATATGATGAACTTCACCAAGCTTTAGTCCAAAGCACTCATGCCAAGAACACTCTTAGCATTAGAAAGGGGTATTCTCCTGAAGTTTTGGTGTTTGGCAAGGGGTCACGGTTGCCAGGGTCAAACATGAGCAGCGAAAGTGAATCCTCCATGGCAAGTGCTGATCGTGCTGATGGACATGGAATATCATTCCGCCGAGATCTGGCACTTCGCGAGAGAGCACGAACCGCATTCCATCAAGCTGATAACGACATGGCCCTCAGAAGAGCTTTTCTCCGTAGAACAAGACCTGAAAGAAAATCATATAGTCCTGGGGAATGGATCATGATGTGGCAACCAACACAGCTAGGTGGACACTGGTTCGGACCTCTGAAGGTAGTGTCACAGGAAGATCGAAATGCAGTATGGGCCACACAAGGTGGCAAGTTGCACCGCCGGGCACCCGAACATGTTCGTCCGGTTTGCTCTCAAGAAGCCAGACAAATCCAACATGAAATGGTTCCCGCAAACCATCCAGCCGAGAATACCAATAATCCCAGTAATCAACATGCCATAGATAATGACCACATTCAAATTCCCGTAACTAATAATCCCTATAATCCTCCCCATCAGAATAATCCTGAACAAAATAACATGCCATCAAATACCTCGAGCACTTCACAGGATCAACCAGACAATGAACCAGAAGCCAGCACACCACATGACAACCACAGTGAACTCACACAGGATCCAGCAGTGGAAACACCAGTGCCAGAACTTCCATCCGATGATGAACTTGTAACCACACATATCCTTTGTTGTGAAGAAGAGATTCTGACAGTAGATCCAATGGAAACTCCGTGTGCCTGGAGATGTGAACTTGAAGTGCCTGCGACTGTGTGCATGGACCATGCCAGGACTTGGACTGCCGCTGAAATCTTGTTGGCCACAGCTGACAAACGTCAGCGCACTGAGGTGAAATTGTCTGCATTGTCCGAGCTTGAGAGAAAAGCATTCCAAAGTGCCAAAGAAACGGAAATCAATAATTGGTTGAAGACAGGGACAGTATCCAAAGTTTTGAGATCCCATTTGGCCCCAGAACAAATCTTGAGATGCCGATGGATTTTAGTATGGAAACCTTTGGAAGATCAGAAAAATGCAGACAGCTGTGACCAACCCAAATTGGCGACACACAAACCCAAAGCCCGGCTAGTTGTCCTTGGGTATCTTGATCCAAACTTGACAGAAGTTCCCAGAGACAGCCCAACGTTAGGTAAGCAGTCAAAAATGCTGATCCTACAGTTAGTAGCTTCAATGGGTTGGAGTCTTGGATCATTCGATATCCGTGCAGCGTTCCTACAAGGGAAACCTCAAAAGAACCGGATCATTGGTCTTGAGCCAGTTCCAGAACTGGCCAAAGCTATGAAGCTGAAAGAAACAGAAGTTTGTAAGCTAGAGAAGTCTGCGTACGGTCTCATCGATGCACCGTTCCTTTGGTTTCAAACGCTTCAAGAAGAACTGACAAAACTAGGCTTTGTGGCATCACCTTTTGATCCGTGTGTGTTTGTCTTGAGGCACCCTGACACACAGGCACTGGCGGGAATTCTCGGTGTCCACGTGGACGATGGAATTCATGGAGGCGATGAATTTTTTCATCAACAGATTTCCAAGCTGGAGTCCAAATACCCATTTGGATCGAAGAAATCAAGAGCATTCACCTTCACGGGGATCGACTTGAAACAGAACACGGACAACAGCATCACACTTTCACAATCCAAATATATCAAGAATATCAATCCCATCCAAATCAAGCCTGAACGTAGAGCCCAAGAAAATGAAAATATCACAGAAGCAGAAAAACACTTACTCCGTGGTCTTATCGGGTCCCTCCAATATGCAGCAGTACACACACGACCAGACCTCACAAGTTCACTAAGTCAACTCCAATCCAAAATCAATTGTGCAACCGTCCAAACACTTATAATGGCCAACAAGACATTGCATATTGCCAAGAAACACAGCGACGTAACCATCACTATACACCCAATCAAAACTGATGATCTTCGATTCATAGCGTTTTCGGATGCTTCGTTTGCCTCGAAATCCAAACCTGAGTCACATGCAGGGATGATCATCTTATCAACTCATAAGGATATATCCCAAAATAGATCTTGCTTGGTAAGTCCTTTGTCTTGGGGAACCAAAAAGATACAGAGAATTGTCACCAGTACGTTGTCGGCCGAGACCTCAGCCCTATCGACAACATTAGATCAGCTAACATGGCTACGTCTGTACTGGGCATGGATCTTAAACCCCAAAATAAAGTGGCAAAGACCTGAGTCCGTTGATCTTCCAGCAGCATACACGGTACCGACAGTGAAAATTGAAGAAAAGGATTTAGCCATCACCGATTGCAAAAGTCTCTTTGATCTCACAACTCGTACTGCTGTTCCAAACTGCCAGGAGTTCCGTACTCAATTATTAGCAAGGTCCATAAAGGACATCCTTTCAGAAGGGATAAGCCTGCACTGGGTTCATTCCGGGGCTCAACTTGCGGACGCATTAACCAAAGTCATGGAAGCTAGCTTCCTAAGGGAGACCTTGAAACAAGGAAGATATTGTTTGCATGATGAAAATGAGGTACTCAAAAACAGGGCTTCAGCACGCAACAGGCTGAAATGGCTCAGATCCTCTTCAGACCAAATGAGTTCTTCGTCAGAAAATTTTTGAAGTTTTGCGAATGTGAATCGAACTCATTTGAACATCTTGTTGACTTGAAGACACCACGATAACACCCAGGTACACCAGTTTAGGTCTCTACTTTTCCATAGGCATGTATGCTCGAGAGAGCCCTGGAGACGTGGTGGGAGGGTCATTTGCCTTGGCCATAGCTACTGGTTCCTTTTTGGCTGTGGAAAGCCATTTGCGGTAGTGGGACTACCTTGAATCGTGTGGCAAAAGCACGAGGGCGTGCGTGAGCGGTCAGGTGGCCGGTTGGTGGAAATCTTGGAATTGATAAGGGGGCCCGCTATCCAATCACAACATATATATATATATATATATGTATATATATATATGTATATGTGTATATATATATATACCGTGATATGCCGACCAAAGGCAAGTTCAACACCCCCCAGAGCATGGTACCGCACATGAAACCATTGGGATTCTGGGGGGGTACAATATTTCCGGACAAACCAAGTGGTTCGCGCGCCATGAAGCTTTTAGTCCAATGCGACCGGCCCAGCCTACGTCGGAAGAAGTCACCAATCTTTTCAACAAGGAGTAGTATTGCGTGTTTGCAAGCATCCCCATGTTGGTGAAATCCCTATTAACCATCATAAAATCCCATTAAATCCTATTAAACCAGCATTACATCCCACTCAATCCTATTAAACCTCCATTAAACAAACATGGTTTGCTTTGGTTCAATGATGGACATAATCAACTCCCTCAACCAGCAGAGATGGCGTGGCAGTTTGTTCATGGCGAATACCCCCTGGAAATCCTTCTTGGCAATAGAAAATACACGTTTTCATGGAAAAAACCTGGGAAACAATCTATAAATTGATATGGGTATGAGTCAAAATTAGGTACCCCAATACTAGATGGTTATTACTAACTATAGACTAAGATCTGTGGTCCCCAGGTCTTTAATTTTGACCCATCACCATATAAACGGGGATGTAAATCAGTGCCACTGTAGATCATCACGGTACTTGGTGTTTTGTCAAAAATGGGTCCGTGGGTCCGCTATTTCCGACTGGTTTGTAACCTTCAAAAAGAAGCCTCAAATCACCAAAAATAATTCTCGACATCTACCAACAGTAACAAACATAAGTATCTACCAATACCAACCAATCATTGGGGAAAAAAACACCGACCAATTCCCAACATCTACAAACAATACTCTCTGGTAAACATACATAGCTATGGAAATCACCATGTTTAATAGGTAAATATAGGTAAGTCATCTATAAATGGCTCACTGTCCATCACCATGTTCGTGAACTGGAGGTTACTTCCCATTCATATCCTCATGTCTGTTGGTGAATTTCCAATTAATCAACACTAAATCCCATTAAACCATCATTAAACCATCATTAAACCACCACTAAACCGCAGCGCATTTGGGTGAACAATTCCCGCCACTCTCTGAAGATTCCAGGGGCTGCACCTGTGGCGCCCTTCGGAGCAGCCTGGCGAAGCTCCGCCAAGAATCGTCTCGATGGTTCAGTTTGGCTCCCCGATGCGAGGGAATATACATCTACTATGTATACGTTTACGTATATATATATATTGTATATATATATTATATTATATATATATACATGTATATTACTGTATAGGTATAGGTACGGGTACGGGTATAGGTCTACGTCTAGCTAGGGGTAAAGGTATGGGTATGGATATAGGTATATGATGGTACATGTATGTGTAATATGTGTTCAAGTGTCTAATTATATATCTGGTTAGTGGCTTCAACCCCTCTGAAAAACATGAAAGTCAGTTGGCAAAACATGAATCCCATTTTCTACAGAAAGTCATAAAATTCATGTTCCAAACCACCAACCAGATATATATTGTTATTCCAATGATTAACCATTATTTAACAATTATTAACCATAGATTAACCAGGAAAATTCCATGGTTCCAGTCACCACCATCCAGCTATTGAAATACACATTGTATCACATGGATCTCTGAAACCACTGGGCCTCCCAAAAAACATCTGGAAAAAGGCGACTCACCGCGGTGAAATGGCGGTTATATGATCATCCCAGAACCGAAATCCTGGAATGATAATGGAAATGGATGGAAAATGGATGGAAAATGGATGGAAGATGGATGGAAAATGGATGGAAAATGGATGGAAAATGGATGGAAAATGGATGGAAAATGAACGGAAGATGGATGGAAAATGGATGGAAAATGGATGGGAAATGAATGGGAAATGGATGGAAAATGGATGGAAAATGGATGGAAAATGGATGGAAAATGGATGGAAAATGGATGGAAAATGGATGGGAAATGAATGGGAAATGGATGGAAAATGGATGGAAAATGGATGGAAAATGGATGGAAAATGGATGGAAAATGGATGGAAAATGAACGGAAGATGGATGGAAAATGGATGGAAAATGGATGGGAAATGAATGGAAAATGGATGGAAAATGGATGGAAAATGGATGGAAAATTGATGGAAAATTGATGGAAAATGGATGGAAAATTGATGGAAAATGGATGGAAAATGAATGGCAAATGGATGGAAAATGGATGGAGAATGATGGAAAATTGATGGAAAATTGATGGAAAATGGATGGAAAATGGATGGAGAATGATGGAAAATTGATGGAACATGGGTGTATAAATCATCTAAATCCCTGTGAATCGATAGATGTATAAGAGCGAAAGATGGGTACACAACAATCTACCCCCTGGTAATCAACCATAGCAATTGAACATCACCAAATTGTAGATGATGTTTCTATTAAAGCAACATGTGTCTCGGATTTTCAATTGCCATGTTTGATTTCCCGTTTGACCATGGCACTTGTTCATCGCTCATCCATTGTCGGGCGATGTCGGTGGTTCTACCCCAAGGAAAGTCTGGGGATGGTGTTCCATCTGAAATTGCCGCATTTTCAGGCGCCATCGGAAAAACAAATCAGCAACCATGTCACTCTCCGTTCTTTGATGATTTTGAATTTTGGGAGGCCATTTGGGTTTGTCTGAAAATATGGACCCCTCAAAAAATTGGGTTAATCATCCTTTTCCCGTTTAAAATTGCTATTTGGGGTGCGGTATAATCCCATTTTCCGGCAGAGCCATTTCATTTAAGTGGTACCTTCTGGCAATCAAACATGGTTTGCCGGCAATGGACAAATCCCCATTTGGGTCGATGATTTTGCCAGCGAACGAAACCTCCATGGCTAGTTTGGGGGATTTCCATGGATTTCCCAGCTAGCCACGTTTAATTGCGTTTGATTTCCGGAGGGTCACCATTTTGACAAGTCACAACGATTCAGCCAACGTGCGGCGACAAGTCTCCGCCTCCTTTGCACCACGTGTTGTCGCTGATGGTCGCGGCTGTTGGATGCCAGGGTTCGCCACGAAGGCCTCGAACTCCCAATGATATTCCAAAGTTGGTTCCTCTTGGGCACCATTTTTTGTGGAATGGGGTACCAGAAGTGTGATAAAGACCCATCAAATCTGGGTCAAATTGGGGATAGAAACAACACATGTCATCAAATCATGAAGAAAGTCATGATAGACCAAGGGAATTGTTGGATTTCAAATTTTGAGATAAGTATGGGTATGGAGTCAATTTGGGGCGTCCCAAAATAGATGGAAGATGATTTGAGCCGGGGTAAGGTTGGTAAATGTATACCAGCACCATGGAGCCCTGTTTTTGGAGCCCAATTAATCCATCTGCGTATGGCTTAAGGTCCCCAAACCTTGGACTTTGCCTAAAACTCGACACATGTTAGTAGTTGGAAGACTCAATACCCTCTGGTAATTTAACAAAAAGCTATTGGAAATGGCCATAGAAATAGTTGATTTACCTATTAAACATTGTGATTTTCCATTGCTATGTTAATTTACCAGAGGGTAACATTTCCTGAGATCATCCAAGGCATGGATGATCATCCAAGTAAGGGTCATGGAGTCATGCTGCAAGCATGGCACAAGATGGCGAATGGGATCAGCTTCAAAGAACGGCTGCAATGAAGGTTTGACCCAAAGGGGTTTGGTTCAAAAATCGAAAAAATCGAAAAACCCGCTTGTCCCATAGCAAAAAAACATCCGTCCCCGTATGCCAAAAATGATTTTTCTCCCCTGCTTTCAGAGGATGCACAAAATGATCATCTTCCAGGTTGCCTGTATAAATGGCCATGGAGGTATTAAACCAACCAGAGATCTGAGATATCCCATGGGTTAAATTGGAAAACCCCAAGGTTGGTGTCACTCCCCATGATCGATCTTTGGCTTTTTGTTTTTTCGGGCGAATCTCATCGACAACCAATAAGTCTACAAGTTGTTTTCTTGAGGTCTGCAACAGACTATACACCCCAACAATTTTAATTAGCTTCAACCCAAACTCCACAGAAAGCATCATCTATGGGTGAAAAATGGTCTAAAACACGAAATGCTGCCGAAAATACCATTTTTTTAAGCTGAAAACTCATGGTGCATCTCTGAAAACTCACTTGAATCAAAGAAAAAGAATGAGTAGATGAGATGATTCTACCGTTGGAAACGTCAACATCTCACACCCCCAAGGCTCCCCAACCATGGTCGCTGGAGAATCCACTGAGAACCTGCGTGGGTTTGGATCCAAACATGCTCTGACTTCAAATAAAAATTAGTGGCGCCCCTACTTTTGGAAACACCGGTGATCTGTCAGGAAATGACGGGAAACTTCGGGATGACATGACATGACTACAGTGTACACAATATTACCCTCTGGTTACTCAACATAGCCATGGTATAGATGGCCCATTTATAGATGGTTTACCTATTAAAAATGGTGATTTTCCATGGCTATGTTAAATAACCAGAGGGTACATATTATATATATCTGGTTGGTGGTTGACCTACCCCTCTGAAAAATGATGGAGTTCGTCAGTTGGAATGATGACATTCCCAATATATGGAAAAATAAAATTCATGTTCCAAACCACCAACCAGATATATATACATATATATATATTACATATTATATATATACATATGTATATACCCATTCTGTGATGATAGATGCAATGCAAGGCCAGCCATTTTGGCATGACCATACTGGATCAGGATCCACAAGTCCGCCCTGGGTTGCCCAGCATGATCGGCAAGTGAAAAAATAAACCTCGGGAGGCCCGGGAGCAAGTTGATGGAACAAGAAAAAGGTGAATTTATCATGAAAACTGGGGATTGCACTGGGGACACTGACTATAATATGGGGATATATTAGATACTTTGTCGGGACATGGCTTTTTTGATTTGGGTGTGTAATACACAACATATACTGAGGAAGCATGGGATTTGGGAGTGCCCTATTTACAAACAATGGATTGGGAAGAGGATCTTCATCCTTGAAATGGCCCTTTCCAGGGTCCATGTCAGATATCAAAATTGAAGACTCTGATCAAAAACCTCATATAGGCAAAAAGACAATATCAAACATGCAATGAACTAATTAATTAGTCTTTTATATTGAACTATATTGAACTAATGATTAGATTGGCAACTAATGATATAGTCTTTGGATGTCTTTGGGCTGGCCCTTGCTGTAATCATGTATGGTGCCCCATCAATGGTGAATTTCCACTTCGCCATGGCATCGCCATCCACAAAATCCTGATGGGATCTGCCACCTCCCAGCATCGTATTTGACCCATTTTTTGGTGGCAACATGTGGCAAAAAATCGCGCTCGCCACTTTTTGCAGTTACGGCATCAACATCAAAAGATATGGTGTTTTTTTGGGGGGGGGTTGTTCACAGCGGAGGCACCTTACCAAGCAAACAGTCGACCTTTCCCCCGTGGTCGAATTTTTGGGCCCTCAGGATCAATGCAGCCGAGATGCCACAGTGCAAAATTTCTTTCACGAGCCGGTGATGAAAAAATGGGCTGCAGAATTTCTCCACTCTTCAGGAAGCCCGAAAAAACGACACCTAAGGTCGACATGACCAGCATGGATTTTTCTCCAAGATACATGGAATCACAAAAAAAAATATCCATGAATCACCAGCTGCCAGCTGCCATGTTTGACTGTGGAAATAGTTGCACTCCAACAAAATAACAAAGCCAGCTGTTGACACATTCAGGAAAAACACATGTACATCTCCATCGAAGTTAATTATGAGGGCAAGCCTGTTTTGGGTCGGCTTTCCCACCATTGTGCCATCATGTTCCATCCACATTTTGGGCACTTTTTCAAGCCACCGGCAGAACCTTCTTTGCGGCTCTTGTGGAAGCACAAATTCCTGCAGAAAATCCATGATGCTTCGTTCGCCATAACCGTGTCCCTATCCAAAACACGGCCATTTCTCATCCATTTCTCATCCACCATGGCTTTGATGTATTTTGCCATCCTATTCTTCTAATTTGTCAAGGCGTGGTTCTTCTACTTACATTTCCCCACTAGAAAATGGTTTCGCTTGTTTTGTTTCCCAGAGGATGTTTCTTTTCGCCTCGGCCAAGCGCTCCCTGGAAAAAAAAAGCTCAGGTCTCATAGCTGGGCCGTGCCTGTCATGTCCATTTCGCGGCGGAACTGTGGACGGATGATCTATGGGCCATGAAGACCATGAAATGTTCATTGGATTTTCTTGGGAAAATCAAGACACCCATTTTCTTTTCCTAGTTGATAGGGGTTTCCTGAAAATTGTACCTTGAAACCAAGTCTGTGAAAAATGGGAATGGGAATGTCACCAGTAAAAAAATGGGCGTGTTGACCAGTGAAACAATTGGAATTTGCATACCCTCATACCACTTTACCACAGAAATGCAAAGTTCCTTTTGGATCTCTTCATATGCTCTCTATGTTTTTCTTGACAATATGTGTGGATTCATAATTATGTATGTATATATATATATACAGTTAATGCATAATTCCATGTGGTATTGAAATACAACGTGTTACAATCTTATAATACATATTTCTGGGTAAATTATAATATGTCACTAACCTGAATTGTTGGGCCATTTGGGGATGATTTCAATGATTTCCCTGAAATAAACCATGATTTCCAGGCTTCGGTCGCGACGTGAGGTCGTGATTTTGTTGGCGATCCCACCGGGACATCGTCCAGTCTCCCAGTCTGCTGGTGTCATCCTAAGGCCCGCACATCAGCGAACTCAGCGAACCTGGAGTGATATCATGATTCTCCTCCGATCAGAAACAATAACATACTGTAATCAACATACTGGAAAACCTAGAACATATGATTCTCAGAAAATATGGACTTCGGATACTGTAACATTGTGGCCCATCCCCATATCTACAGCCTCATCTTCAAGGGGTGTGGTAGTCCATGTCCCATTGAAACATCAGCCAACGATCTTTTGAAAGGGATTCAGATCGGGGACATGCAACATTTTGTAACGTCAGGAACAAGGACTGTGACATGCTGTGACCATGAAAATGCATAAGGATCTTTGGCCGATAAAAGCGCTACAAGGTTGGCTGATTCGTAGCCAATTCGCAGTCTCGAGAGAGATTGGGAAACACAACTGGTGGCGGAATCCCTTTGGGGGATCGATATGATCGATGGTCCCTCTAAGGTCTGTCTATGGGATCCCAAAAAATGTCATGGTTCATCATTTCTTCCCTTAAAATTGAACATGTCGTAAAGTCCAAGTTTTCGACACTTCCATGTCTGGATATAACTTGGATCATATTTCTCAAATAGGGAGGCCGGCCCTTATTGAATGCGACCTTGCCATCTGACCTTTGACGTCTATTCTTGACCTTGATGCTTCCAAGCCGTCTATCCTAGCGATGCTTGGGCTATGTGGTCCCTTTTCCATGGTTCCAGCCGTACCCTCTGGTGTCATCAAACCTGGCTGGAAGATCACCCATTGAGTTCAATGATTGTCCCATTGAAATGCCCATCTTAATTAATTGATGGTCCCGCTGGGTGTATGTTTGATGACACTGATCGATAAACGCTGACCCCCGGAGATGCCGGCAATCAAACGTGGTTTTTCGCTATCCTCTAACAATCCAAAGGGGCCCCTGCAGTGATGGATCATGCTCCCCCCCAACAAAACAGTGTGTGTGTGTGTGCCGACCCCTGAATCAAAGGGAATGTTATGTTGATTAGTTCAGTTCGGACTACATGTTCTAGATAGCTGGCACGAAGAAACCCACTGCACCGTGAGGCATCTTGCGAAATCGCGGAGAGTGGTTCGACCGTAGATTTACGAACTTGCAAGTGTATCGAAAAACATCATAACAGCTGAGCATGTTCAACCCAGTTCGCAGCAGTCTTTGCATGTATGTTAGTATAAGATCCGAAAGGTCAGTGCCCAGCATTGCCTTGGTGACCTGGTAAGTTTGATGATTGTCCTATCACGCGCCACCAGCATGTTTCTTCCTCAATCCGTGGATTTGCGTGTCTTGTGAGTGAGTGTATGTGCTGAACCCTGAATCAAAGAGAATGTTCTGGTGATTAGTTCGGTTGGGACCACATGTTCAAGGTAACTAGCGCGAAGAAGTCCATGTTGCATATAAGTTCCAATCCGACACATCTGTGCATCTTCAGGCGTGCAGCACATGGGTTTCGATCGTTCGTTTTGAATTAGCATACCAACGAGCAGGGGCATTGGGCACTCCTTGGCAAACCCAATGCAATGAAGCTATGCCTTGGAGTGGGATGCACGGTCTGATCAACCGTGTGTACCTGCAGTAATCTCAGTATGGCAACTGGGCAAAGCCAAAAACCCAGCATGAGGAAACATGAATTTTCATTTCATCTCACTTCATCGTCTCCCTTCGGGGTGTTTCTAAGTGTGTAGTGCTTTTCACGCACCTGGATTTCTGATACAGTGCCAGGGAAGCTTGGCGGTGCGCCCGCTGGGGATACCAGATTTTGTTCAGAGTTACACCGCGCCGGTTGATCCAACGGAATTCGGTTCAAAGGTGTTCGCACCTTATCATGCTACAGAAGTAGATCTCGCACCATGCGTCAAACCACTGCACAGATTCACTCTTCAGAACCAGATTTGATACCAGATCTTCGAAGCCAGATTTTTCCATCAGATTCCTCCTCAGAGTTTTCATTTCAGAATTCCTCGTGTCATTCCCCCTAACAAGCTTCAACCACAGTATTGTTTCATTTGATTCCGCAGTTGAGTTTCACCAGTGGGCAAGTAGCCGCGTTTGCGCTTACCTCATGGAGCATATGCCGTCGTCAGCAGACTGGATGTATCGACACATGTTTGGGACACCACCGTGGACACCAAGCACACAGACACCACCAACAAATTCATACCCAACTCCTCAGCAAGCATTATCAACAACATCTCAGCTGACCATGCCAACAACATCCACAGCAGCGCCATTTGCCATAAACTCAACATTTCCAGTTTCAGTTCCAGCAGCACAGCAGCAGCTCTATACACCAACACCTACTAGCCCGGCACATATGCACATGATTCCAGCCACAGCATCCCCAGCACCTTTTCCAGCTTACCAACCACCATTGCCAGCAGCAGCTCCTGCTACATTGTTTGGAACAACAAGCCAAAACTATCCAGACTTCCTGACTGGCTCCCTTTTTGACTATGGACAGCACACATCGCCAGCACATCAACACACAGCAAAACCCAGCCACACAGACAATATCTTACCATCACTAGCCACACAGCCACCTGTTCATTCCACATGCGCTCAACCTCAACGAGTGGAACAAAATTCACCACATCACGCCAGCCGGCGACGCAAGCGCTCAAATACTCCACGATCTAGGCGTGGGAGCCGAAGAAGAAGTCGAAGCACACGGCGTCAACATCGCCGACAATATCACCGCAAGTCACGCAGCAGAGCAAGGGCAAAACGGTCAGAACGAAATCCCAGCACATCGTCCAGACCCAGATTCAGACACGCTAAGCATCACCATCATCAGCGTTCATCCACTCGACGACAGCAACACCAAGCACCCACGCAGTCTGAGAACATAGCAAGCCCAACACCGCAGACACCAGCACACACAATAATGCCACCACCACTGCTACTGCCACCACCACTACCACCACCACTACTACCGCCACCACCACTACCACCACCACTATTACCACCACCACTACCACCTCCGCCACCGCCACCAGCGCCACAACCGACAACGGTCCCACCACAGACATTATCAGCCCAAGTCCTACGAGTGGCAACACGAACAGCCACTTCCAACGCCATACCGGCCAGTACGGCGCCACAACCCAGGCACGGATCCACTACTACAGCAACGGCAACATCATCTAACTTAGCAATGACACCAACAACAACACAAGACCACTCCGACGACCCACTTGAAGCAGCTGTTCAACGCAATATCGACAGCAACACATCCGTACTTACACCATGGCAGCCGCCAATCAGAAACCATTACCACCCGTTCAATTACAAAGCACTTCAGCAGCGCTTGCACTCAGCAGCAGCACGTACTCAGGAACTCACCCCCCCATCAGTGTACTTTCGTTTTTTGCAAGACAGAGATAGCAGTGTTCGTGAAATTGCTACCTTGCTTGAAACATCTTTCCCACCAGGGATTGACCTACCACAAGAACACATCATTCATACACTGTCAAAATATATTGTTACAACTGGAATGCCTATCCAAACTACGCTTGCCCGCATCACGTTCCACCAGCATGACAAATACCGAGTGTGGCAATTACACCTACGCAACATGCCACGCAGCACCTCTACAGCAATGTCGCAAGCAAGCAACTGCCAATACCATTGGGCGCACGCCACCAGTGAAACAGGCTTCTTAGGAACTTTACTGTACGGGATGGTACTACCAACATGTTCTGAAACAATGTCAGGCAGGCAATCTCAAGGCTTCTTCTGTGCAGCAACAATGGATGAGAGCACCATCGTTCAAAAAGTAGTAGACCGCTATCTCAGCGGAAAGGCACATGTTCCTTTTGTACTTGGCGGTACCTTATGGGCAACACACAAAGCCGTCCCAAGCGGGGGCACATACACAGAGCAGGAAGAGGTCGAGACGCATGGCATCGTACATCGGGCAAGGGACAAAAGGTGGTGTATCCACGCTACGATAGCATCCATTCAGTCCATTTGGATTCTTGAACAACAAGCACACACAACAGAGCCACCGCAAAGTGATCTGATGCGTGAAGATGCTCCGCGGCTGACTTTACAAACCGATGTGGAAATGAGAGGTTATTAAACCTCAGCTCTTGCCCCGTAGTTTCACCAAGTGAACAAGCGACAATATGTTCGTTTTTAAACGGCAAACCAGGTTTGCAAATTCTTGTCACAACACATTTTCACCAGCTTGTTCAATACAGAGTCCATACCACACGTGAGGTGAAAAAAGGTGAAATTCGCACCATTTACGACAATAGGTTGACCTGGCTTTTGTTGTGGATTTTATGCGCGTGGTTGAGTCCTTCAACAAACATGTAGGATTGACACCATACTACCATCAAAGGTTTCATGATTAGTTCAGCATAGACAGAACCTATTGCTTTCATTAGTTGGTTTCAGCAGAAGTTTATAGCAGCTTGATAACGTGCAAGTGTGAGCAGAGCAACTTTGCTCACACACACCGAGCGAGTCGTCCGTGCGTTGTACAGATTATGATGTCCTTTAACCTTCAAGCAGCAGTTGCTATTGGAATGTCTTGAAAATTGAACTGTTTCTTCAGACTGAGCTAATTCGTGCTCAAGTACCGCTCCGATCGTTCTTTCATTGTACAGTCATGTCGTGGCAAAGCACCAGCAGACCGTGGAACTGGCACCAGCACCAGCATTCAGCACCGCACACACCACCACGAGCAACATACCAGCATCCTGACTCACAGTACCGACATGAACCACCAAGCCCACAAGGAACCAAACAGTTCAACCGAGACATACCAGCCAATTTCCAACCTGATGCCAACCACTTTGACACCAAGCAACAGTATGGCCTTTCCTTTCCTCGCCAAGTCACCTCAACAGCCTGGAGTCAGAAGTATCATCTAGCAGGAAGACCCATTGACTCCGTACGACTGTATGAATTGGCTTACCTTGGTTGGTCCAACTGGAGCCTTCGAGCCTTAGCCAATGGCAAATTCACATCACTTGTGTTTGCCCGCAGCATCAAAGAGTCCATTTTCTTCCACCATTTGTCCATGAAACTTCGAGATGAGCATATGGATGTAGATGACATTGCAGCAGCATATTGCCAGCAGCAAGGTATTGCGATCACCGATCCAGATCCCAATCAACTCAAAAAAGCCAAAATTCACCACCTTGTGAATTCCACAGTGGATCATTTCCGGCAATTCTCCAATACAAGCTTACAAGAAGCCCAAGACAAAATTCGACAGCTGGAAGCACAGCTAGCAGCAACCCAGACCATTTCCCAGGTACCCACTGACGAAGAGCAAGCCGCATCCCCACAACCTCACCCGCCAACCACACCTGATGAAGCACCACCGTCACCAACACCCGCACGCAAACGAAAGCCCGACACATCCAACACACAAACGGCCAAAAGATCGCGCACTTTGACGGACATGGGGATCACCAAACGGCCGGGCAACCATGACACCAAAGAACACGCAAACACACAACCTCACCCACTGCCGTACCGGCAGCGGGCGCACATGATGTACCAACCAGCACTACTATTGGAGACCTTCAAGCCAAAATCACGCAACTCCCTGGCACCAATACTGTCAGGCCATTTGCCTCAGCATCGCCCAACAACAGCACGGCCAAAACCGTTGATGCCTGGATCAAAAAGCAGAGCATTCCCAAACAACACCAAGCAGCATTGCAAGAAGCTCTTGCAACACTCACCGGACTTCTCAAGAAGATCCCAAAGCCCGAGCAAAGCACCTTTGCAGACAAGGCCGCCTCACTCGGCCTGCCAGTATCAGTGGCATCGAAAGCCCGCGCGGATGAGCTCTACAAGTTGCTGCTTTTTGGGGTGACACAGCTTGAGTGACTAGATCGAGATGACCCGAAACATGTACAGTTTGCTGCCGCATGTATCGTCTTCTTCGGTTGTCTCGAACATTTTCCGCTTGATCAAAACTGTTGTTCTGTATCTGTTCGGTTGGTTCTCCGTGTTGCTGTTTCTTTCTGTGTTTTGTATTGGATTACAAATCATCCTAATCAAAATTCGTGTCGAAAATGGAACCGAAGATTCAGTCGGACACATTTGAAAGATGTCCGCACTTTTGAGGATATGCGCCAGTTGTTTCACCAATCCAATGTTGTATATATTTTGCTGCATGTTTACGGCACAGCAAAACTCAACATACACTTGTCATCTACAGAACATTACATCGGCAGCACCATACACACATTACATGATCGACAGAACACCCGACACCGCAAGCTGAAACAATTACAAAACGGTCAACCAGTATCGTGTGAGCTTGCATTGCATTGGTTCTGTAGCCAAGGCAACTACTATCAGTTTGTACCACTCCCGTTATTAACAACCTCGTCACAACTGCAAACACGAACACTGGAAAGTTACATGATCCAGCTTTGGTGCCCACCACTCAACTATCCACTCATAATGCAACGCAAGGTCACTAAACAACATTCAGCACCACACTTGCGACAAGCAATCGCCAACACATTCCTAGGACATGGCCAGCGACTGTATGCGCGACTCCGCCGCCGCATGATGTACAAGCAAGTATTCCACTTTTACAACCACAACCTGTCCAAACACACCACTGCCTGGCTTCAACTACACGTACTCGCGGAACAAAGCCAACGGTCGTTTGACATGCAAAAGTTTATCCGTTCCAACAACACACACTCAGATCACCTATTTGCACTCTACAAACTTTCGAACAACATGGAAGATCCACCAAGAACAAGAGTTCGCAGTTTGATCAAATCAGCTATTCAATTTCGACAACTACCACTCCCGCCAAGTCCTAGACCACTGATACTGCCTCTACTGAGCCACAAAACATTCAGTCACCAAACACGCCACTGGCTTCGGCAGATAGCCATTCAACACAAACAATGGCTACCACCTTTTCACATTCCAAAATGCAACATTACGGCAGGAAAGCATACCACCATGCAACAAACCCTTTTCAGCCACTTTTCCTGGATGAAGAAATTCACCTGGAACGAACCTCCACCATGTTCTTGCCAACAACTTTTTGCAAAACACCCACGGCTTACCAGCACTACAATATGTGATCAACCACATATTGCCAGTCCTGCTGCAAACCTGAATGTCCCAGCACGACTCGCAAATTTCTTAGCCACGCATGCTGGCACACAAGTGTACCCTACAAAACACCACTACTGTCAACAAACTTGGCCCAAACTACAACGCTGGCTGCAACATTACAACATTAACACAATCACGTATGCAGACTGGCAGAGTTACATTGAACAACAGTGGCCACAGCACTTGCAGCAATCCAAACAATGGATTGGGCACAGCGACATTCAATACCTCAGAAAGATAATGCAACAGTTTGTGGTTCACTGTCGCGACCATGCTGCTACAGCCATTTTTGTGTATTGTCCTTTTCTCTACTGGACAGATTCATCGGTGTACACCCACCTCACTTTGACACCACCACAAGCAACACAATACCTACAACAGCTTACACATCAACCCTGGCTTCAAAAATACAAATGGGCATACAACACCAACAGCGACTGCCCAACAGCCTACATACTATTGAAGCAGAAAAAACAATTCCTTGCCGCCAGGCCCATCATCAACTATCGTGGTTTTGTTTTTGAGAAGCTTCTCAAAGCCACAGCCATCGTTCTACAGCAGATGCTTCAAGCCTGCATGTCCAAGACGTTTGGACTACAATCACTCCAGCAAATTTTCTATACACTCCACACTTTCTTTCACAATGCACCAGCAGACCTGGACCTTGCCATTTACAACCACGATTTGGCAGGGTTTTTTACATCCATACCAGCAGACCGCATCCTTCACGCACTTGCCAAGCTGTTGAAGCAATATCAACAACAACACCCGCATGTAAATAACGACACTGTTTTCACAGTGGACATGCAACAGCCAGACACCACACTACGACTTTTTCGAGGACGGCCTCGGCGAGCTGCAATGACAAAACGACAGATCAGGTTTGGAGACATTTACAACATATGCAGTTTGTCTCTCCAGGCATCAATTTTTTCACAGCTCCAGCAAACATTTCAGCAAATTCGCGGCAGCGCAATTGGCAACCAAATCAGCCCAGTCCTGGCAAACATCACGGTCAGTCTGACCGAGCAAGATTGGCTAAACCGACCACAGGTACAACAATATCTTCACACACACTCAAACAGAATACTGATCACACGATACGTTGACAACAGGCTTGTACTCATTGACCAATCCCAACAGCACCACGCAATCATCCAACCATTCTTACAAGACACCTTTTACCAAGAACCGGTCATCCTTGAGGATGAACCAGACAATTCCTTTTTGGGCTGCACTATTGACTTACAAAAACATACATTGTCTTACATTCAACCAAACAATGCTTGGCAGTTTCAATCTTTTGGCTCTGCAGCTTCCACACAACACAAGCTCTCTGCCGCATACAGCCGCATCTGCCTAGCAGCAAGACACAGCCACCCATACAAGCAAGCACAGCATGATGTTGAGTTTTTAATTCAATCGTATGTTTCACTTGGTTATCCGTACAAGCCATTACGCGCTATGGCAGCCAGAATGTTGAGCATCCGGCGGTAAGTTTTCCACATGAATATTTCTATGATTGATGGTCTTTAATGCTTCGCTGTTCCAACACAAACAACCTATTGTTTTGTATTACAATTAAGCAAACAAGGTGCTCACCTGAATTGGCATGAGGGGTGACATTTCAATTTACTTAGTCTGAGCAACAGGCGTGCCTAAGAGGGGTGGAAAAGCATGTGCCCATACTGGGCTTGTTGTGTGTGTGCCGACCCCTGAATCAAAGGGAATGTTATGTTGATTAGTTCAGTTCGGACTACATGTTCTAGATAGCTGGCACGAAGAAACCCACTGCACCGTGAGGCATCTTGCGAAATCGCGGAGAGTGGTTCGACCGTAGATTTACGAACTTGCAAGTCTATCGAAAAACATCATAACAGCTGAGCATGTTCAACCCAGTTCGCAGCAGTCTTTGCATGTATGTTAGTATAAGATCCGAAAGGTCAGTGCCCAGGATTGCCTTGATGACCTGGTAAGTTTGATGATTGTCCTATCACGCGCCACCAGCATGTTTCTTCCTCAATCCGTAGATTTGCGTGTCTTGTGAGTGAGTGTATGTGCCGAACCCTGAATCAAAGAGAATGTTCTGGTGATTAGTTCGGTTGGGACCACATGTTCAAGATAGCTAGCGCGAAGTCCATGTTGCATATAAGTTCCAATCCGACACATCTGTGCATCTTCAGGCGTGCAGCACATGGGTTTCGATCGTTCGTTTTGAATTAGTCTACCAACGAGCAGGGGCATTGGGCACTCCTTGGCAAACCCAATGCAATGAAGCTATGCCTTGGAGTGGGATGCACGGTCTGATCAACCGTGTGTACCTGCAGTAATCTCAGTATGGCAACTGGGCAAAGCCAAAAACCCAGCATGAGGAAACATGAATTTTCATTTCATCTCACTTCATCGTCTCCCTTCGGGGTGTTTCTAAGTGTGTGTTTACCTATGTTTGGGTATGTCTGAATAGTTGGGGCACCTCCAAAAAATCATGATCTGATCTGAAGTTTGCCCATGAAAACTGCCATCAATTGAGGGGGTCATTGATCCCCATGGCCTGAAAAAAACACATGAGACCATGGCCCCCGATCAGAACCTCATGCCGGTGGTGCATAACTCCTGCAGGTTGAGCAGCGGAACAAAAAGTGTTGCAACAAGCAAGAGAAGTGAGAAGTAAAATCCAAATAACATAGTTGGGAGTTACTACAATGCCATTCCCAGTTCATGGATTATAAATCATCTCCAACATATAAAGGTAGGCTAATAGCCTCCGCCCAAGTGAGTGGGCTGCGAGTTTTCCTGTCGCTCAAGGTCAGCAACTCCAGCCCATGTCTGGACGTTGTGAGGTCGCTAAAATGATTGATCTTCCCCAGTTGGCACTCGGGTAAAGGTTGATTGAGTCATGATTCAATGACCCATATGTGAGGTCACTGGGCAATGTGGCTGTATATACACACGATTTTTTATGGGAAAATGATGTTAATATATGACAATTCACTATTCCCAGGCCCCATGTGCCCCGTGGAAAACCCCAGCCATCTCCGACCTCTTGGTCCCCTAAGGGGGCGCGCACGCGCGGAGACATCGACGAGCGAGGGCTCTTGCTGCCAGGGGATCGGGCGCCCGGAGATACGCTGAGGGATTTGCTGCTCGGAGAGGATTGCCTGGGAGAACCTGGGAGAAACTGGAGAAATTTGACAGGCCGGATGTGGTGAAAGCTTGCCACCAACCTCTTTCTCAGTGAAAAGACCGGCACCAATGGGCCATGATTTTCAGAATTTCATAGGATTTTTTGAAAATTGGAGCCACAGCCAGTGCCTTTGTGGGATTCACCCCATCCGGATGGGACATTGTCATTGGACCCCCACGTGGTGAAAAAATCCCTATTGTTGGTGAAATGGAATCCCCAGAAACATGAGGTACTTCTGATCCCTCAAAGATATCTGTGATTGGACCTATCTCGCCAGAAAGAAAAGAGACCACTTCCTGACTTCACTTGGCATCCAGTACTGACTTCCATAGAACTCTTGGTAAGATATGGTACCCTCTGGTAATTTAAGATAGCTATTGAAAATGATCATTTATAGAGAGTTTTCCCATTAAAAATTGTGATTTTCCATAGTTATGTTAGTTTACCAGAGGGTAAGTGTACAGACACCAACGATCTGGCGACACCAACGATCATCCCAAACAACCCAACTACTCCCCAATTAAGAGGTGAGGACTGCCAGTCGAGCTACCACGGATTTTTCAATCCCAATATGTCCCATTGTATATCATGAAGATATCCCCATATCCCAATATATCCTCCAACTAACAACATCAAACCCTGCCATTTCTGGGGCTTAAAAAACAACGACTTTCCTCTAAGAATACTCTACTGGTTGGGTGACTCTCAGGGTTGGGTGACGCGGGGATGGGGATGGTATATCCATTCTGTTGAACCAGCCAAGTCCCAACAGAAAATCCCAAAAAAATCTGTGGTGAAACCCTCATATCCCCCCATGTCTTATCACAAAAAAAAGTGTTTTAAATTTTCGTGGTTTCAGAAACCATATATATATATAATACATATATATTTTTAAAAAAAAAAACTTATCTCCCCCATGTCTATCCTGGAAAACATCTCCTGCACCCCAAGTCACGGTGTTCGCCGTGGGCCACTCTTCGCGGGGCTGCCCTCCACGGGGATCACTGGGCTCAAACGCCTTGGTGCTTTCTGCTGTAGGTCATATCACCAAACTGTTCTGGTGAATCATGGCCCTAAACTGGTGAATCGTGATGATTAATGGTGATGAATGTGGTGAATAGTGATGATTAATGGTGAATAGTGATGATGAATGGTGATTAGTGGTGATTCATGGTGATACCAATGGTGATACATGGTTAACATGGATCGAGTGTCCTGCAATAAGTCATCAAGCTGAAAATCAGGTCATTTGCCGAACTTCACCGTCAAACTTGAAACCTGGGTATAGGCCAAACATGAGGTACCCCAAAGAAGGACTGCTAAAAAAATACCATTGACGATATGATATGATCAACATTCGCGCAGGTTCAATAAATCTGGATGAATCATCACGATCTCACCGTGACATCATTGTAAATTGTAGTAAAGGGATCATCCCCCAAATGACACAGCAAGTAAAGAACATTAAAACCTCTGGCCATTTCAGGAACCTGAATTGGAGGTACCTACCATATATAAGGCTTATTGTAAGGCCTATGTAAGCAGGTATGCGCCCAATTTCTGTGGCTTATATGGTACAATAGCTCCATTTAGGGTCCGGAATTTCCCCTTGATACCTTGATACCAGGATCAGCATCCAATCAGCCGGGCCACGGAAGTCAACTCCCCAAACTTGATGTGGTTACATATGTGGCTACAAGATGTTACACTCCGCATATTGTTGCATAATTATATATATATCTCCCCAAAGTCTGCAGTTGGTTACTATCCCTATTTTGGGCTTCAGTTAACTCAGTTGCAAAATTGTTATAGTCTATAGTCTGTAGTGGTTGAGATGTTCATGTTTTACCTTCACTTCCAGTAACTCCCCAAATTACATGAGTTGCTAAATCACTACAGTAGTGGTTAACATGCCCATTTTTGGTTTGCCCCCCAAAACTATACAATCGATTACTATCTCCACTTTTGGTGAAGTTAACTAGCCAATTGTATCGATTAGCATTCTCCCTATAAAAAAAAATCCAGCATGTTCAGACATGCCCAAATGGATTTTGTTGGTGAAATCATGAATATCCCCATATATATATATATATATAGAGTGTGTATATATATATATCCATGATATTCTCATCATATCTCCATGATATCCCAATTTTCCCTTTTGAAATCCCTATGGTTTCATGGTTACCATCCTCGCACCTTACCTTCCGAAGACGGTGCCAGCCCCCCAGGTGCAGCTACCCAGGCGATCGCGATCCATCAGCCTGGTTTTCTGTTGGCAAAAACCATGGAAAATCCATGAAAATCACCATTATGAATGGGTAAATCAACTATAAAATGGATTAAAATTCTGGGTAATTTATAGTTGATTTACCGAACTTCAAAATTGTGATTTTCCAGTTCGCTATGTTAAATTACCAGAGGGTATCAACAAAATGGATTAATGTGGGTAAAACAATGCCATTTGCACCGTCCCCCAGTCATCACCATTTCTATAGGTGGTATAAACTTACCATGCCCAGTCATGGGTGGTAAAAATGGCATTGTTTTACCCACATTAGTGCTTGAGATGCCCATGTTTTTCCACATCCGTTTCTTGACACGCTGTCAGGTGATCATGATCGTCTCATACCTGTCTTGAACCTGTCCAGTAACGTCCAGTAAATTCACGTAGCTATGGAACATGGCCCATGAACAAATGATTTACCCATGAAACATGGTGATGTTCCATTAAAAATGGTGATTTATAGTTGATTTTCCCACTAAAAATTGTGATTTTCCATAGTTTTTGTATGTTTACCTGTGATTTTCCATCGTTATCTGAGTTTACTGGAGGCTCCAAGGCGTTCCCCCTCATTTTACGCTCGTTCAAAGCCACCTGAGGTGGAAGAACAGTAGATGCCTTCACGTAGCCCTGTGGCGGAACTGCCTCACCATGGGAGAGTTTTGGGACACTTCCAGGTGGTTAGTGGTCACCAAAATATCGGACGTCAGGGAAAAGATACATGAGAGCAGGGAGAAAGAACACACACATATCTATACATACACATATATATATATATATGTGTGTGTGTAATTATATGTGTATATATATAATTGTATACGTGTATATATATATATATACATATATGGGGATATCCTGTAGATTTTCCCTTCAACCACTGGGAAAGTACAATGCCATCCCGAGATCACTGGATGTTCTCCGGTCGCTGGCAACCAGTGGAACTTTCACATCAGTGATGATTTTGACCAGAACAAACTCGAAAATGCAGGGAATTCCCACAGCTACCCTCAACTAACAGTTTAAGACATAGAAAATGGCCATAGAAATAGTTCGCTGCAACCCTGACGTTGCTCCGCGTCTGACTTCAGGTGGCTATGAAGATAAAGTTGATGTTATTACTCCAATCAAGAAAGGGGTGGCGAATTTTGATCCCTCATAAAGATAAAGTTGATGGTATTACGCCAACCAACATATTGTTCATAGGGGGTGACGAATTTTGATCCCTTATGAAGATATAGTTGATGCTATTACCCCAATCAACATATTGCTCATAGGGGGTGGCAAATTTTGATACCTCATGGAGATATAGTTGGTGTTACTACCCCAATCAACATATTGTTCATAGGGTGGCGAATTTTGATCCCTCATGAAGATAAAGATGATGATTATGATGATGGTGATGATGATTATGATGATTATGATGATCATCATCATCATGATCATGACAATTGTAAGTGTGGAGCAACGTCCGGGTTGGGGCGAAATAGTTTATTTACACTCCCGGGAACAAACGTGTCTCGGGCTACCGTTTCAGGTATCAACTAACATGTCCACTCTGTACCGGCGTTTTCCTGGGGAATGCATTGCAACTTTTTTTGGGACCATTGACCCAAAAACAGCTAACATGTCTCAGTTCCTGCAATTGGGGCCCTTGGATTTCGACCCTGATCTGGGATATGTTCGCTATTTTGGGGGGATAGATTCAGCCAATAACCACTCACATATCTCAAAACCACATCCTCTGAACAACACGGACACGTTAGGTGGACGCTTTCCATGGCCAGTCATCCAACCCTTAGTAAATGCAACTGGTTTTTGGAATGCACCCCCAATCTTCCTGCCCACCCACGGGCATCATCTATGATGCGCTCTTCCGGAAGGAGTTGGGACCCCTTTTTTCTCCACCGTTTTGTTATCAATGCAGTCTTTGATTTGAGCCCTATTGGGGTCTGGAAATAAGGATGCTGGGGCGTCCGGGGCGGTAGTCTTCTGGCAGTTTCCCGGGAACCCCCAGAGGGGGGACCACTTTCCCACTAACATGTCCATTCTGGACTTTCAGCTAACACGTCTCAAGTATAGGGCATTTATCATAGCCTATGTTCACAGCAGCTAACGTATCCAAAAAAAACACAAAAAAAAGTGGATACGTGTCTCGGGCTACCGTTTCAGGTATCAACTAACATGTCCACTCTGTACCGGCGTTTTCTTGGATTTCCTGGGGAATGCATTGCAACTTTTTTTGGGACCATTGACCCAAAAAACAGCTAACATGTCTCAGTTCCTGCAATTGGGGCCCTTGGATTTCGACCCTGATCTGGGATATGTTCGCTATTTTGGGGGGATAGATTCAGCCAATAACCGCTCACATATCTCAAAACCACATCCTCTGAACAACACGGACACGTTAGGTGGACGCTTTCCATGGCCAGTCATCCAACCCTTAGTAAATGCAACTGGTTTTTGGAATGCACCCCCAATCTTCCTGCCCACCCACGAGCATCATCTATGATGCGCTCTTCCGCAAGGAGTTGGGACCACTTTTTTCTCCACCGTTTTGTTATCAATGCAGCCTTTGATTTGAGCCCTATTGGGGTCTGGAAATAAGGATGCTGGGGCGTCCGGGGCGGTAGTCTTCTGGCAGATTCCCGGGAACCCCCAGAGGGGGGGACAATTTTTCCACTAATATGTCCATTCTGGATTTTCAACTAACATGTCTCTAGTATAGGGCATTTATCATAGCCTATGTTCACAGCAGCTAACGTATCCAAAAAAAACTTTTTTCCACAAAAAAGTGGATACGTGTCTCGGGCTACCGTTTCAGGTATCAACTAACATGTCCACTCTGTACTGGCGTTTTCCTGGATTGCCTGGGGAATGCATTGCAACTTTTTTTGGGACCATTGACCCAAAAACAGCTAACATGTCTCAGTTCCTGCAATTGGGGCCCTTGGATTTCGACCCTGATCTGGGATATGTTCGCTATTTTTGGGGGATAGATTCAGCCAATAACCACTCACATATCTCAAAATCACATCCTGTGAAGAACACGGACACGTTAGGTGGACGCTTTCCATGGCCAGTCATCTAACCCTTAGTAAATGCAACTGGTTTTTGGAATGCACCCCCAATCTTCCTGCCCACCCACGAGCATCATCTATGACGCGCGCTCTTCCGGAAGGAATTGGGACCCCTTTTTTCTCCACCGTTTTGTTATCAATGCGGTCTTTGATTTGAGCCCTATTGGGGTCTGGAAATAAAGATGCTGGGGCGTCCGGGGCGGTAGTCTTCTGGCAGTTTCCCTGGAAACTCCGGAGGGGGGGACAACTTTTCCACTAACATGTCCATTCTGGATTTTCAACTAACATGTCTCAAGTATAGGGCATTTATCATAGCCTATGTTCACAGCAGCTAACGTATCCAAAAAAACTTTTTTTCCACAGAAAAAGTGGATACGTTTGTTCCCTAGAGAGTACCCATCAAATTACCCACGTAATCCATTTTATCGTCTATTTACCTATTAAAAATGGTGATGTTCCGTCGTTTTTTTGGTATACCTTACCGGGTACGGATGGCACCACCGGTCACATCCCAACTTCCCCGGCACTTCCTCGCCTGCCAGGTAGGAATGATCAGCCGGCCTCTTTTTTTTCAGATGGTGAACAATGAATCAATGTTGGCCTATCGCCATTCAACTGCCCTCTGGTATTGAAAATGCCCATTTATAGTGGATTTTCCCATTAAAAATGGTGATTTTCCATAGTTATGTTAGTTTACCAGAGGGTAGTTGGCAACTAACGATTCCAAAACGGGTGTTATTTAACACCTCCAAGTCTCCAAGACCAAGTTTGCTGCTTTTGAAAATGGAGGTCTCAAATACTCTTTTCAGTTTGCCAAGTGTACAACACACCAGAATGTCAGTGTCTTTAATTTTGACCGCTAGACCAGTTTCGTTGCAATCCCAAGTGTGGCACCCACAAGAATGGAATGGCTGCCGTATTGAACTCTCACCCACAGCCAAGTGCGGTTATAATCCCAAATGTGGTACCCCAGATTTGTCTCTAACAATATCTGACCCCAGTGTTGGTGATAGCTTCCATGACAGCCAGTTTTTTGCTGGCGATAGTTGTGCTCATCACTGCGGTGATGATCCAGGCTGGAAAGGGCGAATGGGGAGGCCTTAGGAAAAGTAACTTGGAAGGTGTTCAAAATCCAAGAACGACGTGTGGGTTGTCTCAAAAAGAGGGGTGCCCCAGTCCATCCCATGGTTTATCATTGTTTTCTTCATGAAAATTGCCAGTTTGGGGCATTCCCTCCATGCAAACCAATCTACCAAGCCATGCCTGGAGCGAAAGTGGTACGCCTCAGTGGACGGCAGAAGAATCGAAAGATGCTTTTCGTTGGGTTTTTAAAAGGACATGGACAACAGCAAGTTTCTTGAGATTTTCTCACTCAAAAGACAATTACAAACATCAAAAAAAAAACCATGAATGTCCTGCAAATGTCCAATAAATGTCCTATGGAAAACCCCATCAATGTCCTTAAAAAAATCCAGGTCATCTGGTCAATTTTTTTTACCCTCCGGTAATTTAACATAACTGATGGGAAAATCACCATTATTCATGGGAAAATCCACTATTTCTATGGGCATTCAATGGCCATTTATAGTGGATTTTCCCATGAAAAATTGTGATTTTCCATGGCAAAATGTTAGTTCACCAGAGGGTACCCAGGCTCCGTGGCTCCGTGCTGAGCCAACAACTGCTGTTGCTGTTGTACCAAATGCTGATGTTCCTGGGATGTCGTGGATGGAGGGAGGGTCATCCAAATTTGGGAGCAATTTTAGGGATTTAACCATCAACATGATGACCCTCAACATTTACTAGGGATCATTAATGGTCATCATCCATCATTTTTTAGGGACATTGTCATAGAAATAGTTGATTTACCCATCAAAAATGAGTGTTTTCCATAGTTATGTGAACTTTTACCAGATGGTAACATGATTTAACCATCAACCATCGATGTGGTCAGAAAAAATATTGGGTTTGAATCATCAGGATGGGCCGGGCTTATCAAATAGCCACCTTGCGACCCAATTTTTTCGGGTACGGGTACCGAATTAGGGTACCGTTTTGGGACCCTCAAATCCCTCAAATGGATTCCATGATTGTTGGGAACCATTCTGTCAAATGAGGGCAATACTTGACTGTCAAGATTGAAGATCATCCCTGTTTTGGTGTTGGGATATCAGAGATATTATGGAAAAAAAACACCATGAAACCCTCAAAGATCATGCTCAGGATTTGCTTCATTATGTTAGATCCTCTGAGATCCACATGATTGTTGATGAATATTCCTGTCATAGGTGACCCTCCAATGTGGGGTTCATGTACGCTGTAGGCCTACAGTACCCCTCTGTGACAAAAGCAGCCAAGCAGTGGGAAAGAAAGGAAAAGCACCATTCGTTTGGAGAAACCATGATAAAAGCCACACCTTTAAGCTAGCCAATCTTAAAATTGTTCCTTGACACAAACCATGGTGAACGTGCTTTGATTGAGCATGTTCCGTCCCAATAAATCATAATAAATCATCCAGATCAGCATGAAACTGCCTGAAATCAGCAGCATAGGGAGGGTTGCTAGCGAAATGCTGATAATTAAATCCTACATGTCTTGTTGATTGAAATTCTCATGTGTGTTGGTTAAATCATTGGTTCCTTTGGGCACCCACCATCTTTATTGCTTAAGTCCTTCCGCATGACAAATCTCTCGTGAAATTCCGTCTAATTTATTTAAATCATATGGTTTTGTCCGAAAATGGGGTATCCCCAAATTTGATGGTTGATCATGATTTTTTGTACTGAAATGATCAAAAGATGAATCGTTCATCATCCCAACCCCAAAGCTGGGTTAAAAAAAGGTCCACTACTGTATACCCAAACCATCAATTCCACCCAAAAATCCATCAAATTCCAGTGAATCCGCCATTTGTCATGGGCAAGTTTACCCCTGAATTCCCACATCACAAACATCTGCCAACATCGGCCTCCAACATTTGCGACATCGCGTCGACCAGTTCGCTGGGCTGAGTTGCGCCCTCTCATGCTGAGTTTCGGAGGGTATTCTGTATGTGGATATGTTTGGATATAGAGATCAGATTAATAGATATGTATACAACATACAACATACACTGTAGAATGTACAATATACAATATACAATGTGTAGATATATATATAATATTATACATATATATATATATTACTATATATATTATATGATATTATATATAGATATTACATTTTATTATATTATATATATTACATTATATATATATATTATATATTATATTATATTATATATATATATTATATTATATATATATTATATTATATATATAATATAATATATATATATATTAAATTATATTATATTATATTATATTATATATATTATATTATATATATATTATATTATATATATTATATTATATATTATGTTATATTATATATATTATGTTATATTATATATATTATATTATATATATATTATATTATATATACATATATTATATTATATATATTATATATATTATATTATATATATTATATTATATTATATATATTATATTATATGAACCATATAGTAACATATATAATATACAGCATCTATATACATATTCTGATATAAAGTTTCAGAACCATAATTCACCGACCTTGAGAATAGGCTAATAGAATGGTTGGAATAGTCTAATTCATCAACTTGATAAGGATTTAGAGATTACAGTCATTCCAGTAACGTCGCAGTGCCCTTTTAGTCTATCCAGATGTAGATAGTCTTATAATATATATATATGTAGTATATACATACCATACATGTATAGATAGGGTAGGATCGAATAAGATAGAGTAGACGGGTAGATGGGTAAATTCTAGCTAGGTAGATAACTAGGCCATTCATGGATGAGTCCTCCACATCTCTTACGGTGGATTGCTGGTAATCCCAGGATTCTTCCATCCCAGTTTTCCATCATGTTATGCCATGTTTGATTGCCAAATATCAAATGGAGCCATTTAACTGGCCAGCAATCCTTAACTGGCCAGCTTCCCCGCCTCCTTGGAGGGTTGATCAAAGGTTCGATTCATGTGAGACACCAACCTCAGGACCAGGGCGATGCGGTGGACGTTGGACATGGGCCGCTTCCCCAAGAGAAAGCTGGGCTGGAAAATCCTCCAAGAATGCTGGGTGACTGGCGATTCTGACTTCATTTATTGTGATGATAATATATGATAATGATAATTTTCACCATAAAGTTAGGGTACTACAAAGCCCCGGGCTAGCCATCAACCAACTGTTGTTTTGTTTAACAGTTCAAGTGGGATGGTTCTAGATCAAAAAAAAATAGACATTGGAGATTGTTGGAAGGTCTTACAGTATGACTCATACCCATGTTTTCTACAATGTTTAAGGGAAAACCATTGGGACATTGCTATTATTTGGCAGCCCACGGCGCAGCAGGGATGGCAAAAAGTTGGCGTGCTTCCTCCAAGCTATGTTAAATTACCAGAGAGTATCAAACCTTGGATTAATGTATATTAATGTGGGTAAAACAAGGCCATTTGCACCATCCCCCAGTCATCACCATTTTTATAGGGTGGTATGTTTACCATTCCCGAATGGGTGGTTTATTATTGGTTTAACCACATGTTCATGGATTGTTGGGAAATTGATAATCACAGATGATTGATCAATTGATGATCAATGGGGGAAAAAAACTACCAATGGCTTATCATGGATCGTGTCCCCATTCAAATGTATCCCACGTTCACACTAAAGCCATATGCCCAATTTCTCAAGTGTCGTTTCTTCTTCCAATTCCCGTCCCAGTGAGCCGCATACAAAATGGGGCCGGCACTTCCTTATCACGCTTTCAGCTTCAACCATGCGCGCCTCACGCTGGTAAAGCAACCCTGAAAAATGCAACGAAAACCCTAAAAGTACTTTGTGGACCACCATCAGTCAAAATGATGGCCATAGAACTGTGGGTGTCCTAAAAGAACTGGTGAATGCTGGACATTTGTCATTTCTGGTGTTTTTGAATTCATAGATATCAATATATGTTGTACTCCCAATCAGCTCCGGGAAAGCACTTGTGGCTCAACATGATAATTGAATCCCCCATCTTTGATGGTAAAATAATCCCACCAAAAGTTGGTTGTATATACGGTGTATATGTATGTATACACCTATAGATACTTCCCATATCCCATTGTATTCCATCATATTCCACATTTTTTTAGAAAAAGTGTTCATTAAATGAACATTTCCTATGTTGATGTCCATTATATTCCATTAATTTCACAAAAAAAAACACATGAAAATCCGATGAAAATCCACCAAGTTGATACTCCCCCGATCTAAGCACAGGGTTTCCAGGGCTCTCTGCGCCTTCATCAAGTGATTGCTTTCAGTCAAGCTTTGTTCCACACCTAGGGGCGAGAGGATCAGCAGGATTTGACAAATCAATCAGTGTTTAATGATATGTTAACATCTTTTAACTGGGGAAATGGAGAAAATGGTGATTATTGAATATATTGAATTGGAATCTTCTGATTTTGCCAGAATGGTCCTACTAATCCTACGATGTGGCTGGAAAACTCTTGGTAGCTCCTTGGCTCCCCATGGAAAATAGGGAATATTTCTGGATAATATGGATAGCCATAGCCCCAAACCACTCGCTGCTAACAACCAGATAGTTCCATGGTGACTCTTTAACTGGAAAATGGGGGAGATCTCAGAAGCAATATCCATTTGGCTGAAGATCTTGATAAGAAAAAATATTCCGATGTCATCAAACATGGCTGGCAGGAAATTCTCGAAGCTGGGAAAATCATCGAACTCAGCTGGGGGATTGTCCTGCTATGTTTGATGACACCAGAGTCACTGGAGATTTTCCCAAGGAGCCCTAAGGATGCTGTGGCCACAGGAATAATTGGTTGTCTATTCCGAGGGTTTTTTGTTCAATGTGATCCTGAAATTGAAAGGCTGGAACCCCAAGGCCGATGTGTCATTTTCTGCACCCGGAAATCGGTTCTTGGGTTCCATGTGTTCAGTTCTTTAAGGTTCGTGGATCACAACCTTTTCGGTACCGGGATGTACCGGTACCAACTCGTCCCAAGAATCCGCTACGCCGAAAGAGATGGAGCTCGATAGAGGAATCGTTACGAATCTTCATGACCAATGCCGGTTCCACAACTGTGATTGCGAAATCCTGCATCACCTTGGATGGTTGAAACATGTTGAAAGATGTTGAAACCCTATAAAGAATAATGGGATAAACCATCTATCAACTGGTGGATGTCTTTCATCCACAACCGGTACGGGCGTTTGCCACGTTTTAGAATTTCCCATGTACGATGCGAATCCTGTCGATGCCATTGCCACTTCAACCGTCCCAGCCAGGAGACTGTGCCGCATCAACTCAACGCTTTTGTTCATCTGGTTGGAATAATGCTCCGTGGCTGCCTTACCATATCCGGACCCATGGTGAAAAAATGAAAAAAGCCACCGCAAGTGATATCCTCAGGGTTTTGACCCCTTGAACTTCATGATGATCTTCCCCATGATAGCCGGTAACACTTTGCGAACTGGAAAACCACCATGTTTTGTTTTATGCGTAAATCATCTAGCCTCCGGTGCTGAAACATGGCTTGTTGGAAAATTCCCCATTTAGTTTGATGATTTTCCCAATAGACCTTCATTTGGGTTGTTTTTCCACATTTAAGTGTGGTTTCGAGGGCCCCGGGGCCCACCTTGGTTGAGCTCCCCACTACACCATTCTGAGATGACTCCATTAGCACACATTACATATTAATTTATGTATTTACTTATTCAGGTTTATATATTCTTTAGGTGTTTATTTATGTATTTATGTATGGTATTTATACTTATCTACAGTATGTATTATGCGTTCTTTATGTGCTTGTGTGTTTGTTTAGTTAAATATAAGAAGAAGAAGAAGAAGATGATGATGATAATGATGATGATGATGATGATGATGATGATGATGATGATGATGATGTATTATATATTGTGTACATTAATGGGTATGCACAGTATGTTCCATTGTCAGGTCAAGATTACCAGGGATAAATCCGCAATTTCCAGACGCAGGCTGCTTGGATGTTTTTCGTACACAACCTACGACAGCCCAGTTACCTACAACGGGGTTCTAAGATGTTACGCTGGCACAATGTGGGCCCCCAAACGATAGCCAAGTTGGTGCTAACTTCAATAACTAGGGTTTATGATACCTATAACTATAGTTGATGGGGTGTATAAACCAACTTATAACTGGGGGGGCCCACATTGTAGTAGAATGGGGATATAATGGAATATGAATATCTCTCCTAGGTTTGTTACTAAAGAGGTAGCCAGGTACCATCCACTTAAACACATGTATTTACACATGTTGTTGAGGCTGCAACTGAAAGATCACTGGCAGCCCATTGCCATCGGAGTTGAGGGGAGATATCCCCTTGGAAAACCCCTGGCAGCCCATAACCCATACCCTTTGCTGCCGCAACGTTCACCCCCGGAACCTTGTGTTCGGCGCGTTCTTTCTGCAAGGTCTTTTCCAGTTCGTCTGCTCTCGCCTCGCAATGGTGAGGAAAAACCCTTCTGGATAAACAACTAAGAACCCAAGAAACGCTACGTAGGTGAATGTAGGTGAATATCTCAAAATAGTTGCTTCATGTTGATTTACTTCATTCTGGGAATGTTCACCTGGGTTTTGGGGGAAGATTTCCACTTCATCGCTGAGATCATAGTGCTCAAATCATGTGATTCAATATCCAGTACCAAGCAACATGGAAGAATTATAGTCTGCCAGGCGCCGCCGTTGCCAAACAAGGAATAAAAATCAATAAAATATGTCAACTACGAACTGCCCAGTGGTAACCCTGGCCATGGAATGCCATGGACATTCCCTATCTTCATAGGTGCTTTGCCTTTGTCGAAGATGGAAACTTTCTCCCAGGTTGACAGGTCCAGCCTGTAAGGACTGCCTGTAGCGCTCCATTTCATCAAGCTCTTGCTGCATCTCTTGCAGTTGTGGCACCTGCGGCACAGGACCCAGGATTGATTACAGCTACTATTACCAACTTCACTAAAAAATGACAACGGAAACATGGAATGTAGGATAGCAACAGCTAGGCTATCTAGACTCCTTAACTTTCAGTGTTCAATGATGTTTACTGTGCTTAAGATATCTAAAAGCCTTCGCAGTTCCCCGTTTTGAACTTTGCAGCTCTCCATAGCGAGCCATCCCACCTCGGATCTCTGCTGCGCTTGTGGCATCCTGAGAGAAATCGCTGTGGCGTCGTGGTCAGATGGGATAAATGTGGTATGGTTTGTTGCTTGGCAGAATCCCCTCAATAGGTTTGTACCTAGTTTATCCCATTCCCAAAATGCCCAATTGACATCAATTTTTCCATCCAACTCTGGTGCTGGGTGCCCAGGCTGATCTTTGATCAGGGCATCCACATCCTTCAATTTCGACTCCATGCCCCTTGGTTTTCGTGGGATGGGTGGAGAAAAATGGGGATGGCAACACAATCTGAATGGGAAGCAAACTTCAGAAGACTTCCGCGGTTTCCCAGAAATTTTGGAAACTTGTGCGGAACTAAGTTTAGGGGAGATTCAGCCCACGTTTTGGGGGATTTTTTCAGCAACAAACAGTTTTTATATTCAACTTGCAAGAGGCAAGTTAACCTCCCCCAAAGATAGCTGATTTTTTCTGAGCCCTAGGGGATGGTTGGATGGATTGGAAGCATGTTGGAGCTATGTCTACACAGACATTTACCAATTGCCGCAATCAAACCTGGCCATGGCAAATCTCCCATTTGTAGAGGAGGATGTTCCTATTAAAAGCGATCCAAAAATGGATAAAAATGTGGAATCTCCAGCCATTCCCAGCAGAGCCACAGGATACGCCGTTGCATCTCTTGCTCGAAAGCACCGCCTGCCACCAGCGCTCACACCGAAAATTTTCGTGTAGTCTGGCAGGTTCCATCCCCTGAAAAGGATCCGAGTCATCAATGTCAACCCCCAGATTCTTCTATCATTAATGAACATGGGATCAATGGGATCTTTATCATCATAATATAATATATATATATATAATTATATATACACAATTATACACACATATAAATAATAATGAAAATGGGATTGATTATACCCCATTGTTGATGAATTAGGGGGGCCCAAAATGTCTCGCCCTGAGCCGAATGACCTGCCGAGGAAGGCACCGAAGTTGCCTCAGTCGAATCAAATGCACCAGAAGAGCCCATGGCCCAGGGAATGATTTATGGGTAGCCTCTGGTAAACAAAAAAACTATGCAAAATCACAATTTTTAATGTGAAAATCAACTATAAATCACCATTGTTAATGGAAAATCACCATGTTTAATGGGAAAATCCACTATTTCTATGGTCCATTGGCCATAGCTATGTTGGTTCACCCACAATGATGTGAAACAATCTACCCTCTGGCAAACATACAAAACACGATGGAAAATCAGCCGTTTTTTCATGGGAAAAACCAACTGATCCAACTGACCATCCAGTTGTAAAACCAACAGTTTTTTCCCATCCCCAGAATAGCTGGTTGGTGGTGCAATAAGCATCTTGAAAAATGATTGAGTTAGTCAATGGGAAGGATGACATCATGGAAAATATAAAAAGATGTTTGAAACCACCAACCAGGTATATACTAAACTAGACTAACATCTGTGGTCCCCTAGGTATTCAATTTTGACCCACATCCTGAGATGGGGATGTCTCAAAATGTTCAAATCCCCAAGTTTGGGGCAGCTCTTTGAGACATTCCCATCTCCCAGTGATGATCAGTTGGGCATCCCCGGATGAGCCCATGGCCACAAGGTACCCCTTGAAGTTGCAGTTTTTGATGTGGATACAGGTCGCATCTTTCCTAGGAAACTCGATGATATTAGATAGTGTGGTATCCAATTTCGGAGGGCTTCTATCACCCATTCCTGGTGAAATGTGAAATTGGGGATGGTTTAGTACTGGGTTTGCCACATTACTGGTACTCCAAGAATAGAGGTTTCCCAAGTTACACATATATATATATATATAATTATATATATATATCAATAATTATCAAGATATCTATGAAGTGCCCCCAGGTGCCCGTTTTTTTGCTGGAAACAGACATCATTTTTCTCCGACTGAGTCGGAGCAACAGAGGACGTATTCGCAGGATCATCATATGGGGATGGGTCAAAACCTGGTACCCCTGCTAAGTTCACAAAAAAAAATAGCTGCGATTTATGGGGATGTTCATCCCCCTTAAAATGGTATTTATGAGGTATCTCCCATTAGAATTGCTATCTCCAATCGCCGATCACGTTTCCACCTTTCCTCGACTCGATTTCCGGACAGATGCGGTCGAGACATCAGAGACGTCCAAGGCCGATGGACCTGGCATTGCTTCTTGGGCGATGTGAAACAATCTACCCTCTGGTAAACTTACAAAAAACTATGGAAATTCACCATGTTTAGTGGGAAAATCAACTATAAATCACCATTTTTAGATGGAAAATCACCAGTTTTTATGGGAAAATCAACTATAAATCACCATTGTTAGATGGAAAATCACCATTTTGTTCATGGTGAATCACCTATTTCTATGGTCCATTGGCCATAGCAAACTGTTAGTTGACTGGTAACGGGTAACTAGTGACACTAGTTGGGGGGACTACTGGAGGGTAAAGCTATGTCATAACCTGCCATGGTTACCATATGTTACCATCCCAAGATGATCAAGATGATCACAGATGGCTGGTGAGACCCCAATGGATGGTCCACTGGGTTGATTCTGCACCTCGCCTTTGTGGGCATATTTCTTGGATATTCACAGATTCAATTCGGAAAATCTGCGAAGAAAAGATGTTCTTCAAAAAATGCTTCAACCCAAATATGAGGTCTTCCTGTGTTGCCTTCAACCAATTTGGGGATAAGCCTTGGGTTTTTTAGGTTGTCATGTTTGTGGGCTACACTTGCCACAAAATCCCAGTACTACCCGGTGATTTTGGGAGTGCCCCCCGCATTTGAAACACCTCCAGATCCAGCGGTCATTTGGGGGTTCATCGAATTGCAAATGCCACACCCAAAATCGATATTGTTGGTGAAGCATCCCCATGAAAAAATATCCCCGAGTGGTTATCTCCATTATACCATCTGGTTATTTAACATAGCCATGGAAAATCCACCCATTTTTAAGAACGGTAAACCATCTATTTCTATGGGCCATCTATACCATGGCTATGTTAGTCATAACCAGGTTGGGTATCCCCATTTTGCCATGGTGAACTCCCATGGTTCATCGAACATCCGAACCAAAACAAATCGAGCGCCTGACACCCGGGCTCGACGTACGGCCGTCGCAGCGGCCTCTGGCTGAGTTGAGTTCATTAAACTATACTGGGCTGCTGTTAAGATAGTCAAATAATCAAAAAGGTGGAAATATATAGAAAAACTGTTTGATTATTTGATTATCTTAACAGCAGCCCAGTATATTGACCTTGAGCCAAGCCATCCTAAACCAACAGGCGATATAGTGAAGATTCTAGATACTTCATCAAGTCTTCATGATAATCCCAAACCTGATAGACCTGATATCAGGATATTTAAGGATATTTAAGTTATTTAAGGCATCAAAAAAGTTTGCTGGCTTCTCCTACTTTTTTGGCCATGATTTCTCGGGTCTGGTCGTTTGAAGTCGGAAGTGTCCAGGATCAATCTTGGAAACCCCCCAAAGCCACTTAAATGGACTGGGTTTGTCTGTTGAAGCCGTCAAAAACTGAGATTGTTCTAAGTTATAACAAGTTCCAGTTAGAACCTATCCTGGTGCAAATTGGCCAGACATGGAATGCCCATTGGCCAGACATGGAATGCCCTTCTCTTCCAAACTTCCAAATAGCCGTCTCTTTCGACTGAATCAAACATTCATGGGGGTGGCTCAAGGGAACCTCTGTGATTTTCACCGTAGATCAACGGACTCTACTATTGAAGATCCTTTTTTTCATTGGTTATAGCCGTATCTCTATGGGAGAAATCCATCATTCTGATCATTCTTGGAGATTCTTCTAGCAACCCCCAAAAACATGCCGAAAAGTATGACACCAGGATGGCTTTGTCGATCATGTTTTCTCATTTCCAGGTGACCATATGTGTTCTTCCGGGGTGCCATAGATCCAAATGCTCTGCTAGTGGAATTCAGTGAGGTCACCCCTCTACCCCATGCCTGCGCTGCGGCCGCCTGAGCGGCTGGAACTGGATCTGGACTTCCGTTCTCCCTGCCTCCTGAACGCCTGGCGCTGCCGATGTTGATCTGATTGGGAATGGTGTATCAGAGATTCTAGTTCCTGATCAGAGATGTACACATTTACAGTATCAGAGATTCTGGTTCCTGATATGAGAGATTTGGGTTTTTTTCACTTGCTCTTCTTTTTTTCCCTGCCAGCCGTCTGCCACGACTTCTGCATGACCACCGGCACGCGCCACGTGCGCAAAAGCCAGACAAGTTGTCTTGCGCAGTCCAATGACTGGTGCACTGGAGCGAACTGTACAAGTCCATCGTGGCTGATTCCTTGTATCATAGCTGGAACCTTACCCATTGAAACCATTCAACCTAAGGGACTGAAGTGTAGATCGGTCCACCGAAGCCAGCCGCGAATTCCAGCGGTCAAGACGATAGCGCTGCTGCTCCATTACTGTACAGTGCTGGAACATGTCGCACCGCGAACCACTGAACTTTACAAAAGCCATGGTGCCCTTACCTCGATTGGCCAAGTGATGCCATGTTTTGTTTTTCGGAGCGACAGTGATGAATGCGGTTCTAATTTAACCTCCAAAATTTATCAAAATTCCATCTTGAGCATCTGATTATCTGGATACTATTGCCCCTTTTTTCTATCATCTCTCTGGGCATCACTGAGATTCGTAGCTTGAACCCTTGAGACCGGCTGAGTTTGGTGCGCGTCAGATGTGAAAACCTCGGAGACGTCGCTGAGGGTCCTGGCAGAGAGCCCTGTGTTTCGGTGGTTTTTTCTGTTTTTACCACTGCGATTTCAAAAAAAACATGGATTTTCCATGATTTTCCAATCAAAATCCATTTTGTAATACCTTTTTGGGAGGGTGTGGTGTGTCTTCCTTAAATTTTCCTTGAAGACAATAGAGTGAAGGAAGGGAACCGCAGAATTGTTTGAATTGAACCAAACAAAAAGTCATAAAAACTGGCCAATAAACAAAAATTGAGTTCAACTGACTAAAAAAAAGAACCAACAAACTATACTATAATGGTATATAGCGCGTCCTTTAAAATGCGAACATGTGCCTACCTAAAACCCATAAAACGAGGTTTGCATTGACTAACAAAAGTGGGTTTGAATCTTGCACCACCTTTCTGATATTTCCTCGGTAAGCATGACTTGGTGACTGGGAGGCTGACCATTATCCAACCCCTAATGCTCAAACCCACCAAAAAGTGAGGTGCAATGGCGTGCGCTGTTAAAAACAAAAATTGTTTTTGGTCTGCATCCTTGTGTTCAGGGTTGGTTGGGAAAAAACTCCTTGGTGAGGTTGAATATGATCCAACCCCCAAAAGGTTTCTTGGTTGGTTGTTGAAAAACAAAAGGAATTAGTTGGTTAATCATTCCAAACGCGCACCCCCCAAAAAATCCTTCGCGTCCAACTTGGTGATGTTCTCCTGTCACCAAGCAGCCAGTCTGTATTTTCCAATCATTCAAGACCACTTATATACATGTCATTTATCATATATTTCAAACCTCATGTTTGAGGGTATGTAGAAGGCAATTGTTTTTGTTTTGTTGTTGTTGTTGTTGTTGGTGGTGGTGGTGGTGGTGGTTGTGGCGGCGGCGGCGGTGGTGGTGGTGGTTGCTGCTTCCTCCAAGATAAAGCGCATGGAATTTTATGTGGGCGTTGGACCTTTGAGGTCGCTTTGAATTCTCCACTGGGGTGGTCATCAACCTGGCGAGCACTTCTGCGGAAGATACGTTTGACATTGTCATGCCAAAATCCAAGAGTTCAAAGTCGGTTGTTCTGGAACTACCCTCGTGTAATTAGCACAGCTATGGAGGCCATGGCTCATTTAGTTCGGTGATTGGAGGAAATTTAGAAGTCAAACTTCCGACAATATGGACAGATGAAGCAGCAGAGATGGGAAGCAGAGAAGAGAAAGAGACAGAAGAGAAGAAGTCAGAGAAGAGAAAGGCAGAAGAAAGAAGATCAAGCTGCGCGAAAAGGTAGAAAAGTCGCGAAACACTGTGTTTTTCGAAGGCTTCGTGGCTCCGGAGGGTCGAAAAGTAGGCTCTCTAAAGCGGCGAGTGTGGAGCCATCTGGGGAGATAAGAGATGAAAAATTGCACGCCGTTGTAGCGCGAAGCAGATTTCGAAGTCAAAAGGCCAAAAACACCTCACGTCCAGAGCTATTTTGCCAGTCGAGATATTGAAAAATTGCACGCCGCTGTGGCGCGAAGCACATTTGAAAGTCAAAATGTAAGAAACACAGCGGGCGGAACACTTTTGGAAGTTGATATGTTGGAAAAGTGCACGGCGCTATGGCCCGAAGCACGTTTCCAAGTGAAAATGTACAAAATGCCTTCAGTTCCGGAGCACTTTTGAAAGTTGAGATGAATAAAAATGCCCGGCATTGTGACGCGAAGCACATTTCCAAGTCAAAATGGTAAAACACAACCACTGCTGGACGTTCACGGCACGACCGCAACAAGTACAGCTACAGCTACAACTACAACTACAACTACCACAACAACAACAACAACAACTACTACTACTACTACTACTACTACTACAACTACAACTACTACTAATAATAATAATACTACTACTAATACTAATACTACTACTAATACTACTACTAATACTACTACTAATACTACTACGACGACTACTACTACTACTACTACTACCACCACCACCGCCACCACTACCACCACCACTACACTACAACAACAACAACTACTACTACTACTTCTTCTACTACTACTACTACTCCTACTGCTTCTGCTACTGCTACTGCTACTGCTACTGCTACTGCTACTGCCACTGCCACTGCCACTGCCACTGCTACTGCTACTGCTACTCATACTGCTACTCCTACTCCTACTCCTACTCCTACTGCTGCTACTCATGCTACTGCTGCTACTGCTGCTACTGCTGCTACTGCTGCTACTGCTGCTACTGCTGCTACTACAACTCCTGCTACAACTCCTGCTACAACTCCTGCTACTACTCCTGCTACTGCTCCTGCTACTGCTCCTGCTACTACTGCTGCTACTACTACTGCTACTACTACTGCTCCTACTACTGCTGCTACTACTGCTGCTGCTACTGCTGCTGCTACTGCTGCTGCTACTGCTGCTGCTGCTACTGCTACTACTACTACTACTACTACTACCACCACTACTGCTACTACTACTACTGCTACTACTACTACTGCTGCTGCTACTACTACTACTACTTCTACTTCTACTTATACTAACAACAACAACAACAACAACAACAACAACAACAACAACAACAACAACAACAACAACAATTACTACAACTACTACAACTACGCTACACTACATTACACTACATTAGGCTACACTACATTACACTACAACTACATACACTACAACTACAACTAAAACTACAACTAAAACTACAACTACAACTACGCTGCAACTACAACTACAGTATGCTATACTTCACTAGACTACACTACACTACAACTACAACTCCACTACACTACACTACAACTACAACTACAACTGTACTACACTACAACTACAACTGTACTACACTACAACTACAACTACAACTGTACTACACCACACTACATCCAGCATTTGTGGTTGAGGTGACCACTGCAACCACTGCAAAAAGCACAACTCCAGCCACGGTCCATCAGTGGATTCGCTCTGCCATCCATGCATGGCAACAACTCTTGTGCGGTACTACTGGTAAATCCTTATTCAAAAATGGTGGTTTTCCAGTTCGCAAACTCTTAAATGGCCAGAGGGGAACCAACCAAGTAGCCACCAAACCTGCCAAATGCTATGTCTTCTCCAGCCAGTGCCATGGAACAACCTGTCTCCCCAACAGCATCTTCGGCCTTGCTATGGTTGGCCAACTTGGTTGCGTTCTCCTGGAAATCCGCATGGATATGTGGTGAAACACAACATGTTTTATGGGCCGATGGGGCCGAAATGTGGATGGGGACAGTTGGAACACATGGCATCTTTGGGTAGGGGTTGCCCAACTGGAATGGGCACACTTGAAAGACATCGACTGCGAAGGATCCACTGCCGTGTTCAACTTTGGCACCTGTTTACACAAAAACCATCTGTGTTTGTCTGCTGTGTATGGAGCAGCTGGCAGATATATAGATTGTGTTTACTCAAGTTTACTCACTTCTAGGCCCAAGTCAAACCAGGGGGATGTGTCAATCTTGGGAACTGCCAGGTTCCCTAAAGTTTCTTCTGCGTGTGCAAAGTCAAGCGGGGGATGCTCACCCGAAACGTTGGGATTTACTCAGAGCTGCTTTAGAGCCGAGCCCTTGAAAAGAAGGGGAAGTAACCCTCCGGAAATCCAAGATGGCAGTGGAACATCATGAAACAATTTACCAGTTTGTACCCTGTGGTAGTTTGACGTAGCCTTGGAAAAATGACCCGTGAAACTAAATGATAAACATCTGTTTTTGACTATTTTCCATGGCAAACTGTTAGATTGCCAGAGGATAATCAACAAATACCGTCCAACTAGCTGGTATCTTAGATGATATTGCCATTATTGCCGTTGTATCCCTAAAGTCACCGTTATATCCCCTACAGGATGCCCCCCCCAGTTATAAGTTGGCTTATAAACCCCATTAACACCCATTAACTAGTTCGTTATATCCGTTATATCTACCATAGACCATAGTTTTTTGCCACTTATAAGGCAAGTTAGCTATCTTTGGGGCCCCACCCTGCAGTGTATCACTGGTGAATCGAAAAAAATGGCCCGACGGTCCGGTCCTTTTTGAATCCGATGGGCCAGCCCATAGGCCCTAGGATGTCACCTGGAAAATCGAAACTCATGGAGTTCCCCCAAGAAAATGAGTTATTTTTTGGGTTCCATGATGTTTGTGAAATGTCGGTGGTGTATATAGTAAAGAGGTCATAGGTGGTATGACTAAAGGTTGTTCCTGATGTCTTCCAAATCACCAAAATGTGGTAAAAATGGGATGATGTAAGGCCCCCTATTTCCGGGAGTAGAACTGTATCATACATGGGGTTGTGGGGCCC